TTAATACTCTTTCTCCAAAGAATGAGGCAACTGAACTAGGTTATGTACAAACACCCTGCCGTACTCGTGGGACCTGGTCTGTCAATGCGTGATTATGCGCAATTATAGAAATGTGATATTGAGTTTTAAGCCTGGTTAAAACATTAGAAAGATGTTTTTCCTTTTCAGTCAATGACACAGGCGGCTTGGGAGAAAAATCAGAGAATTCCCAACAGGAGTCAAACCTTTCCGTTCCATTCCATCCCATCCCATCACTTCACATCACATTCCACTCCACTCTATTCTATTCTGTTCTACCCTAACTTCGTGGATATCACGGGCCTCACCATGATCGATTTCCGACACCCTAAAAAACCATACCAATCAGACTTTTTTGTGGTATATACAACTACATGAAGACTTTTTATCGTAAGCAATAATTTCCCTCAGAGACCCTTTTCGACGGTGATGTCTGAAGCAAGTACAGTCTAACCTCTCCTTACGGACACCTCTCTATTACGGACAGTTCGTTTGGTCCCAGAAATGCAAAAAATTACATTCCCCAGCCACCTCTATAATACGGACACCTCTGTAAAGCGGACACTTGGTTCTGTCCCTGTGGTGTCCGTATTAAAGACGTTTGACTGTACAGACATACACCTGTAAACTCGATGATTCTGCTTCTGTTCAGTTGGTGGGAGGCACAAACCGGCTCCCCACCATAAGAACGTCTATGGAGATACATAACTTCGTTATGCGCCGATCAATTCTAAATTTCAACATCCCCCGGGACACTTCTAAACTTTTTGTATAATCTTTGTATTTGGTTCCACATTTTTTGGGTCCTAACTACCCGCCTCGATTAGCCTATGGCTACTTGCGGGTAGGAACTTCTCCTCTTCTAATTCATGCTCTAATAAATAAAGTTTTTTTTGAAAACCCTGCGCATTTTACCATCACTTGTTCCTAGGGAGTGGGGAAAGTTGACGCAAAAGGTATTCGCTAGGATGGGGAATTTGAAGCAGAAGAGGAGAAAAAACACTTATTACAGAAGTATATAGTTTTCATCTTCTACAAGGACCAGCCAGGAATATGTATTCATTTTGGAAATAAATGGGGCGCGTGACTAGTTTTAACTAACACAAAGCAATTATCTACCTCTCTTGTCCAAAGCAACCCTGACTGAACCAAATCATAGTTAATTGAGTGGAATGGTTATGAAACCCGTCCGACTCCTTTATTATATGTTTTTGTGGACCTGAAAGTGGACAACGTTCAAAAGCATTCCTTTCATTTTGATTGTATTGACCAACAAAAACGTTGCATTAATTTATTCCGTAACAATTTGCTAACCGAAGACAAAGGATTGTGCACTTTCAGGGTGCTTCCAACATAAACTGCAGCACTGTTGTTTTTATCATTGATGTTTGCCGCTTTTCATAACCACTCTGCTCTAATAACTATGACCAAGTTTATGATTCTTGGATAAGCTACCAGTTTGGCTGCTTTGCAATAAAATAAATTGAATTATACCGTATGTTTATACCGTTACGTCTAATTCTTACCTTCACTGTGTTGAAACCTTTCCTTGCAGTGCTACCAGGAGTAGTTAATCGATATCGCAAATCATTTGTAATGATATAATTGATATTTAACAATTATTCGCCGAAGGCGAAGTTAATATTGTTGAATAATCCCCGAGACGAAGTCGAGGGGATTATTCAACAATATTAACTGAGCCTGAGGTGAATAATTGTTTTAGTATATTCACACGAAGTGATCTCAACAGAATCAGAAAGGAAACCATTAAAAAACCATTAGTTTGATTGACGGGTGAAAATTCATGCGTGAACACGAAGCCGTAAACAGTGGATGCGCAAAAGTTAGATCTTTACAGTATCTTCAAACATGGCAAATGATAGTTTTAATCCTTTTGTATCGAGTTTTGTAAGCTTTAGCATCAACGGTTTAAAAGAAAACGCCGAAAATTTAAATTACTACCCAATTCTGAGAAGAAAAGTATCTAGAGCTTTATTTGTTTCTGTCAACTCACCGTGAATGAGAAAGTTTTCTTCGTCGCTTCTTGCAAATGCTGTCAACAGCGGCTGCGATCAAGGTAAGCGTTGTTTATCTCCAAAGTTCTTTGCCTTGTTAACTTGCTGGCACGTACAATTTTCGAAAATATTTGCCTTCCTCTCTTCTCCATAAATTAACCTCTATTTATAGGCAAAATTGGTCTTGCGAGAAAATCCCGAAATCACAAAACAGTGACAAAGCGACCTCGTTTTCCTCTGTAGTGGTAAACATAGCTTCGAGCGTACAAAAAGTCAGCTAAAGTAAACCACTTCACAATAAATCAAGCTGTTTAAACACCATGAAGTCTTTTCTTGCCTTCAAAGTCATCAGCACTTGGATATTCGTGTATTTTCAAACAGGTTTTACTTTGAAACTTTGGCAAAACACCCAGTTCACAACAGCGATTTTGCTCGGCTTTATATTCACCGCCTAGCGCGGTGAATATAACGTCATAGTCCGAGATAGCTAACCAATCAGATTGCTTGAATTACCAAGATCACTGAGTGTGTATATACTAACAATCTATATCATCCGCCGATTGAAATTGGTTTTTATCGAAATCGATCGATAATTATCGCACACAAAAGATTAAACTGTAGATTTTTGTGGATTGACAAAAACCGCTAACAATCGATAGTAATCGATAACAAGCTGTAAATGACATCACAACAAGCTTTATTGATTTAGTGACATGATATCTCTCACCTCAAGCTTTTCTGATTCGCTAGTTTCATTTCCTTAGACAACGCCTATTTTTACGTAGAAAACGCATGGTCTCTTAAGTTTAGCTTTAGTTGGATTTCGTCGTCTGCATGTGTACATTGTTGTAGTCTATTTTGGATAGTTCATTTTTGGTACTTAGAGGCAAGCGGGAACCGATATGTAAGTACATTTTATCCTCTGTAGTTTTATCTATCTGACGACTCATAAAGTATATCCCGCAAGAAGTTGTTGTAATACTCAGTATCTCGTACCATTACGTGACTATGCCTTTTCTGAGTTTCAAGTAGGTTTACTTTTTAGTTCGGCGTGGGAATCTCATTTCTTTTAGTTTATTTAGTTTTCATGCGTTTGCAAACGTAGTCCGTTCTCAGATTTATTTTGTTAGTTTCTTAGTATAGCATTATTCGCAGGAAGCAACCATTATTGTTTTTGGGAAGGTTTCTTTACTCCTGCGTACCCAAATTTAGGTTGATTTTATTCCTTTCATGAAGTATATTTAGTCTAATATTCTAGTTGGTAAATTTACTATTCCTGTATTTCAATAAGTATATTTCTTTTGTCTTATTATGCGTTTTGGCAAGGTTTTTATACCGGAACAGCTACGAAAATGAAAATATGATTGGAATGTCAGTAAAAAGTTTATATTATCTGCTAGCCAAACTATAATAATTGCAATTGTACTTTTAGCTTTTAGTAATTATTTGTTACGTTGCATTATATTTCAGTTTACGGTTCGATTATCGTCAATAAAATCACCATCAAGGACTAGCTCCTAGTTTCGTGATCACAGTTGATTCATGATCGACCAGTAAAATATACCCGCTCACACGGAGTTTCGCCGCCACAAATAGTTTAAGCCGCGTGACAATTGGCTTCTCCTACAGTCGCAGCGTATCATCCGTTACACAAGCAATAATCGTTATCAGTATGTGGTTCAGATAAAAACATGGGGTTGCTATTACTGGGTTTACCTCGGTGTAAGAACCTGTGAACTTTTTCTTTGTTTCGCACCTTTTGTTTTTCTACGTTCTATTGTGTTGCCTTCTTTGTTTCCTCTGTTTTACGTCACTCGTGAGTTTAACAGGTTCTTACACCGAGGATGAGCCCTATTAGTTAAAGAACACCGACGAAGTCCATTTTCCATTGCTGTAATAATCTGTTCATGTTGTCCTTCAGCAGCATGATTGAAATAAAATTATAGTTCTAATGAGGTCTTAAACTGCGGGGTTTTTGTTAAGTAAAAATTTAATTTAAGCTTTGGCTGATCAACGGCATCATCAGGGATGAGAAAATATTCCGCGCAGAGCTATATATATACAAAACGGGTGTAAGATAAAATGTGTAGAACTATGTATAAAAGGTATAGAAATAAAATTTTTGAATAAAATACAACGGTCTAATGACCAAGTGTCTCTGGACAAAGGTTCTCTCATAATGTATAAAAAATAGTCTCTAAAGCGCCAAAACAAAAGGTCCACTACCTTCCTCAAGGGAACTGAGGGTAGGTTTATATTTTCTTATTTAAACTGCCTCGTAAAGGCGTAGATTTGCGGGGTCGCCTTCTATTTTTTCTATTTGCTGTGTTTAGCATTGCCATTTTTCAAAGCTGCAGCTATGAACTGACATTAGCTTTGGTACCACAGGCTCGGTTAGGTAAATACTACTGTACTGCCCACGACTTTCATGATGTTTTAGATATGGGACAAATTGACAGACGGCCGCTTGACTGGCGATGATAATCGTGTTCAAAACGCAGTAAAAAGTTTGTGTCATCAGTCTTGATAATGTTGGTGGTATTAGTCTGGACAAACAAACTTTTAATTTGTGTTTTTTTTTGGTTAATAAATGTGTAGATGACTTGTGATTATTGAGGATTTCATGCTATTCGCCATAATTGTTGAGTTATGGGCCAATTTTCTATTTAAAATTTGGAAAGGGTGTCTTGATTAGTGGAGACCATTTTCAATATTATTTGCCGTTTGAGGTCAAAGCAGTAAAAAAACCATGTGTTTTATTTATTGCCATTCCACACTATTTCGTTTGAAAGGCCTAGTTAAACGGTGGTCAGCAGTGTTTTTTTCCTCGTCAGGCTGTCAGAATCTGTCATGTAGCAGTTTGGATCGAGACGAACACAGTTTGAAGAAAACCTCTAGTTTATTTCCTTTTTGTAAACCGTGATCATGTTTATGTTCCAAGTAAAGCCCATTGCTGGTGATCATTCACAAATATTACAACCTAACCATAGCTAATTTCTCTGAAATACATATAGGCATGCGAGTCAGTCTCCTGCAACGTGATGGACTGAGCCGACACCAGTCGAAATTCTTTTCAGAGTTCACGTTCCCCTTGATCAGTAGACTTGAAAGAGCGTTGGTCTAAGTGGACCGTGAGCTCTGAGCTGTTTCCTAGATTGCTGGCAGTCAGAACGTCGTCAGGTGAATTTAAGTTGCTATACTTTTATTCTAACTCAAACTTACCAACAAAGAAACTAGCGGCAAGCCTATAATACAGATCTTCTGGTTTTTAATTTAACATTATTCCCGAAAATATTGTACAGAGTGTTCAGAAAAACAAATCAACACAACGTGGAGAGCGAGGAGATCGGCCAATCTGCGATATCCCTCCCCCCACTTGACCAGAATACCTGATCACAAGACCTCCTAAATCAAACTAATTCAGTCGCCAAGGCGACCTGGGTCTCAATTGGTACATTCTTTATCAAATAAAGTTAAACTTCAATATACATACATATTGACACAAAGTGCCGGGATTCTCACTCATGTGGGTTTTGCTGCACACCGCGAAAATTGCTTAACTAGTAAGCATGCTTTTTTGTTAACGAGAATGTTTTGCAAAGTGGTCAAAAAACTCCGAAGCTAAACGTGCTCCAGGAATCGAGTTTGCTGTTGAAATATTCGTAGTAGCGTCAATTGATTTCGTTATTCTACAGTCTGTTGGTGTTTATTCTTTCGAGGACCGCTTCTCTTTTGTTGATCTCTTCTTCTTTCGTCGTCGTCTTCGTTTTCCACCGTCTTTCAGCACGTCCACGGCGTTCGCCTCATCCGGAATGCACTCGTACCAAATTTTTAAATACTTGTAGACGTTCCCACAAGTGTCGTCGTCGAAGAAAATGTTGGAGGCCACCACCTCGCAGGCTTGCTCGTTTTTACATTGTCCATTGACCTTTTTAAGGGTGTTTTCTGCCGTCGTCTCGCACAGTCTGTCTGATGTGAGCCCTGCAGGAATCTTGGGACACGTAACGTGATCATCACGACCCCAGAATGCCTTTGTAACTTTGATGAGCTCGTATTGTTTGCACTGTACCCAGCCCTTTTCTCCTTCACAGATAACAGTAAAGTTCTGCAGGAGAAAATCGAACATGTTGATGAAAACCTGGCCAGAATGAAGTCCTTGTATGATAACGGTTGAATAGAATCTTTTTATTTTGTCCTCTATGAGTAATTGTAGCAAAATAAGAATGTAATCGAAATTCTCTTTATACCTTGTCTGATCGGCTAGTGACTCTGTTTCGTATTTGGTTACGGCAATTCGAGGCAGTTGTCATGAAAGTCAGATTTAAGGTCATGGGCCCAAGTTTTTTAGAAGCGGAATATCCCTATCCTTCACCTAATCAATATGTCCAGGTTATAAGGGCAGTTTTGAAAATATAATTTGGTATTAATTCTGTCATGATCAGTTTATGGAAATGAACAAAAACAGTTTAAAATGAATGCATTCACACAGTGGACGTTTGGACAACCGAACAAATTTTGGGGATGTCCATGTTAAGCTGTTGCGTAAGTCATTTTCACTTACCGGCATAATTGGTTCTGGACCAGCAGGACCCATTGGACCTTGCATACCTGGAAGACCAGGGGCTCCGGGAAGACCCGCAGCACCGGGTGCTCCCTGCTCTCCGGGATCTCCCTTATCTCCTGGCATACCGGGAGGTCCTGGTGGACCTGGTGGTCCGGGTGTTCCTGTAGCTCCTGGTGCACCATCTTCACCTACATGACCAGGGGAACCGGCTGAACCCGGAAGTCCTGGAGGTCCAGGTTCTCCGGGTGGCCCGGCCGGTCCCGGGGGACCCGGTGGACCGTTAAGGCCTTTCAAGAAGAATCCTAGCGTAAGATTCTGTTCAAGAAGCTGACTGACCATAAGCTGATCAAGAAATGGTTGTGTGATTCTGTCGCCGATCTTCGGCCAGTCGGGTAAAATTGCCTGTGAATGCTAATTGGAAAAAAGCGTACATTTAGTGTTTTCATATTTATGACTTAGACGTTGATACTAATCATACACTGTTTGTAATTTTAAGGAACTGGCTCTGAATTGTTTTAATTATAAAACAGGCTCTCTTTGTAGTTTTTTAAGGTTTTTGCTAAAAATCATTTTGCAACGGTTTAGAAAATCTTGTTCTGACTAGTGTCATTTCGTATGTCGGCGTGAATTTTTTGCCGGCTAGTGACAGTAAAACTGTGAAAGAGTATAAGAACTAAGTAAAAATGTACTTCTTAAAGACAATGACAAAAGAAAAGCATTTCTTCAGTTTGTAGAAAACTGCTTTATGGGGGTTAGTTTTGGTGTAAAAAATATTTTTAGCCTTCAAAAGATATAAAACAGATAACAAGTACCGTCAGTACTTGTTGACTCGATTTCTCTAGCAAGACATTAGGTCACACTTGTTTGTGGTGTTTACCTTCTACAAAAGGGTCGTGACCTGGGCTTAGGGAATGCATACTACAAAGTACCATTGGTTTGTCACTAGCAAGGTGTGTAACGTAAAACAATACCGTTGACAAAAGTAAGTGAAAATTAATTATACTTTAAAAAACGCTGACCATTCCTTGAATAAAAATGTGTAACAATGATTTTTGTGTGCTCTCCTCTTTCTTACAAACTAACCGTAGAAAGAAAAAAGATGGAAACTTGACCATGTCAATGAATCTGGACATGGCCCGCCATTACTCCATGAAACAGCCTGAGCGGTGAGGGTTTGACCTTATGCAAAAAGGAGATTCTGTTTAACATGTCTTCATACACTTTAGAATTTTCAAAGCGAAGTTATACATGGGCTGCAGGCTATATATTGAAACGAATTCAGTCGTAAAGAACAGTCTCACTAGATATCTGCACTCATCCTCTCTCTTGCATCATATGCAATTGTTTCCGAGAGCCGTAAATCTCCGGTTTCTAGTTCATTTTCTACACTGTTTTCAGAAAGAAGCTAAATTATTTGTGTTTAATTATTTTGTCTGTGGAAATTTTTTCTAACAATCCTGTCTCCTGATGGATTTTATTTCCGTTTCGGACTTTATTTTGCGTTTACGTCCGAAAGTTAATCATGCGGATTCTGCGAGAAAGGGTAACTTTTTGGGATATGACAAAATGTATATTTTGTTAATAACCGCGTTGCAGCTATATAAACGTGCGATGACCGTGCAAAATTGATCACGCGTCTTAACGGTTTCATGCTCGAAAAATCAGCAGAGGTATCTAACGTTCTTCGATTTCGTTACCTTATGACATTTATCAGAACTTTTCATTCATTTCCAAGAAAAATAAACTTTTTTTTAATCCCCTCAACTGCAATTCGACTTGTAGTTAAGGACCGTCAGCCTGACTGGTAGTACCTGTTTTTTGTTTACATCAGACAATTGTCATGCATCGAAAAGCAGAGCTAGAAAGAGCCTCATAATAATGCCAAAATCAAAATAAAAACACAAAATATAAGGCCATCATTTCTTAAAACGTTGGATCTTGATAGAAAAACAACTCTTTCTCGCTATTTTCGTAGATGCCGAGTTAATACAAAATGAAGAAAAAAAAGAAAATGTTATTTAAAAGAAAAGCTAGATTTCAAGAATAGAGAAAAAACTGGGTGTTTTAACCGTGACTGGATAATTTTGAAATCCAAAATCGGTCATTAAACTGGTAAAAATATTCGGGTCCATTTGATCGGATATGGTCAACTTAATTTACATTTAACCCTCGTCAGTATATTAAGGTAACATTTACGGCAGTTATAACGGCGTTTGGCGTGATTTCAGCGTTGGTTTGTTGAATTCACGCTCTAAGATTAACGAGCAAAAACACTTCTAACCACCGAAATAGGACCTGCCCAAGCGCTAAGATAACCTATGGGTGAGTATTAATAATACATAATTACATTTTCGAGAATAGAGGCTAAAAAAGGTAGACTTACCGTGCATTCTAGCCATACAAGGCCCACAAATAAGGCTAGAAGGCAGCCCATGCCTCCTCTGAGCCCCATAACCTGACGAGGAAATGAACAAGAGAACAAGTGATCAATGATTCTCGAACACCCTGATTTGTCATTAATTATTACCAAGTTGTGATTCATCTCATCGACAAAGTATCTTGCGCGCGAAAATTCTATTCCGTCTTCTTGAAGAAAATAAAAATAGTATCTCCTTGTCAAAGAGAAATAAATTCTTGATATCGATTAATCTTAATTTCTCTTCTATTTAACAGCTATTTAAACCTCTGCGTCTCATCTAAAAAAAGTAATATTCGTTACCCGATGTTAAACATGTCATATTTACCTTACGTTCAGAAAAAAAATTACGGCGTAAATTTTCAAAATGGCAAAGATTGAATACCAATCGTCGCTTTAGATACGATTATTCCCTCTTCTTTAGTCATAAGCTACAGCAAATATGCTTCGTTAAGTGTAATCATTGAGCGTGATAACTTTACGAAGTTGAAACTAAGGAAAGAAATGTCAAATCTCACAGGACAATATCAAGGTCCGCGTTATATGTTTTTCCTTGTTAATTCTTCCCAGCAACTAAAATATGTACAAGTGACTTAGAAGTCAATAGGATCCTGTGAGTTAAGAGTTTCCCTTCACAACCATAGATATCAAAGTAAACAGGCTCCTCCTCCTCCGATAACTCAGATCGATTTGACAAAGAAAATAGACCACATCCAAACGGACTGACAAGTACATAATTCCAAGTAAGAAAGGCAAACGCCGACAATGTTCAAGTCCCGTTTGGATGAAGTTCATTTCCCTTATCAATATCCGACTCCTAAAACTGCACCAGCTCGGAGCTAAATATGAGTTCAGATGAGTAATCCCTTCGGAGGAAGAATCGCGTTTGGCATTCAAATCAATTTAGTTTACCACTAAATCTTCTACTTCCTTGCGCTTCACAAGCTTGTTCCTCAATGCTCGTGTTTCAACCCAAGATGTTTACGATGTTTTCCAAGTACACTAACCTGTGACAAAGCTTTTTGTTTCCTATGGGAAAATAGCCTTGTCAGTAGCCGTTACCGTGAGGTCTGAAACTGACTTTGCTCTCAAATGTTTCAATACTGGCGCTTGGGGTGCCTACGCGCATGTGCGTTAAAGCCGTCCAACCACCTTGCCGTGCTTGACGTGGCATTACAATGGAGGAAATTTTATTTGGTATGACGTAATGCGAGCTTAACATGCTTATTTGTTGAGCGACCAATCAGAGCGCTGGATTCAGCTGCCCACCGAGTGAAACAATGGCAAAGCCATGAACCAAAACGACTCTTAGGTAATATTGATATAATTGGATAGCTATTTAATAATAAAACACAATTTCCGTCAAACTGTCCGGTGTGACCAATGGTTTAAGACATGTTTTCACACCTGAAAACCAATCAAAGGAGCGCTAGGGTGTCAAAGTTTGTGAAGAGCACTTGTTGCTTTTGACATCATGAAGCAGGTGGCACTAAACGAAGGCAAAATGCTTTCTTCCGTTTTCCATTTCAAGTTGGAAAATTTGTTAATATTTTGACTAATTTTTGCAAGTTTTAGCTCAATATAGCTTCCATGATAGCTTGGGCGTGAAAGATTTCTTTTTCGGAGAGGCAGAATAAGAAAGCTTGTGATCGTCTGGAAGGCTATGTGTTGAAAATCAGGTCATCCGTGTAGGTTTTTGTTTTGTCGTTTTAATGAGTCCAGTGAAGAGTCAGTGAGCAAACAATGATTTGCTTTTAATTGTCTTTGTTCAAGGCACTGTAAGTTCGACCCCTACACTTCAGCCGGAACCACTTGATGAACACAATAAAACGCCTACTGAACAAACAAGTTCAACAACAAAGGGAGTTCCAATATTTCTTTATATATTACGTGTAGAGTCGGAATAATTATTATAGATCAATCATATTTTTTTCTAGATCCTGGTAGGGGTATCTAGGCAGACTTAATATCTTTTTCGTTTGTAAAAATGACTATTTTTACGCACAATGTCGTGTTTATTCAGCACTCGTAATGAAAACTGTTTTGAAAGAAGACGATACAGTAGTATTTTATTGAGTGTGTTCGTTACATCCTGTGGCCATTATGCCGAAAATGTATCTCTTTAAGTCAATGCCCATCCAAACATTTAAATATAAGACTCCTCCTCAGTAGAGAGCCGTTGTAAAGACTGCTTCACTGCCAGCGTCCAACAGTATGTTTTAAAGGGAACCTCCACTTTTGAAGCACGTCTTCCAAAATGCCCCATAATCTCCTTTTGGGATCTTTAAGAGCATTTTAAGCAGTATTTTCTTTAAGAATGGAGGTTTCCTTTAACAAGCGTAGGAAGCAGTTAGTCTTCACTTCGTAAGCGAGACTTCGTTAACTTTTCCACTACCTCCAAATATCCCCTTAAGGAGCGTAAGACTTCAGTGTTCAACAATGCCATTTGCTATCGGTTGCATCTAAGCGTGTACACGTGAGGAAAAAACATGTTCTAATTGGGTGCAAACGTGACATGTTTTGGCGCCAAACATTTGAAGTTTGGAGTAGGCGGCTGTTGTCGACTTGATTTGTTTTTGCTCGACAAAATCAGTCTCTGCAATAATTTTTGGAGGTTAAGAATAATTTCTGGATGCAAGTGTGCTGTTTGCTGAGCAAGCGAGAGGTGAGAAAAATGAAATATGAGCGGTCACGCGCTGACCAAAAGCATATAAACATCTTACCTTTGGTGCGACAGTTTGCTTTAACGGCTGTCAAACTTCAAATGTTTGGCGGCAAAACACGTCATGTCTGGCACTCTATTAGAACATGTCGTTTTGTCTCGTGTCCACGCTTAGATGCAACCGACGGTAGTTACCGTTACTTCTATCAATACCAAGGGAGTAGAAAAATCACAATTGAAGAAAATCCCGAATGATTAATGATATAAAATTAAAAGAAGTATCACGCAAAAGTAATTGATCCGCTCACTCAAAAGTCAGATCCAGTTTGTACAGCATATGGGCTATTTCCGAGTTCCCCCGGGCCTCTGTATCAAAACAAGGTTAAGTGCTCAGCCTTTGGTATGGAAAGGATTTTTCACTCTCATGTAAATAAAACTCATTTTCACAAGGTTGTGCACTTGGCCTCGTTTGGAAAGTGAGGGTTTTTGGAATTCGGAAGTGGCCTATAAAATAGTAAGATATGAAAGTACATAGTACTGCTAAAGAGTTTCTTTTAAATGACCACACCTGGGGTTTGGTCTACTGACACAAAAGATAGAACGGTACCAGTTTATACAAAATAATAAATGGTATGTGAAAGTACATAGTCACTGCCGAAGAGTGTCAAGAGTTTCACTTGATCGAATAATCAATCCATAGAATTTGCTCCACTTACTCGGACGTTGTAGCCACATTTAGTCACATTTCATGCCTTCGTGTACTCAACGAATAGGGTTCACAGTCATAAATGCATAAACCATGACATACCTACAGGGGAAAACATGCAGCGGAAACCACAAGCAATTTTCCGCTCAATTAAGCTTTTGAGTTCCTTCTGTTAAACGTTTGAATTGATTCCGTATTTTCCCGAACAAATCACTCAATAACTATAGAATCACCCTGACCGAAAACAAAATCGAAATTGATTTGGTACACCAAATAAAACGCAGCGAAAACAAAAAGCAATTTTCCGCTCAATTAAGCTTTTTAGTTTCTTCTGTTAAACTTTTGAATTTATTCCGTATTTTCCCAAAAAAATCACCAAATAAATAAAAAAACCCCCCGACCAAAAAAAAAACCGAAATTTATTTGGTAAACCAAAAAAAAAAAAAAAAAAAAAAAAAAACAGAAAAACGTTCAACCAGCCGGTCACCTGCTTCTTTTACTAGTGTTTTTATTCTTTCACAATTTTTTAAAATCGTTCTAGCCAGTTTTTATTTAAATTCCTCTTCAATTTTTAGAATCCTTTAAAAACAAAAGCACATCTGTCAGCAACGGCAATGAAAGCACTGTTGTTAACCGCACCCTCCTCAAAACGACATTCCCTCCTCCTCCTACCTTAAGTCTGGTTTGGGTGCCACAGTCCCTCGAGAAGTCCCGCTGGTGCCAAGAAGGAGAACTGTTTAGGCATAGGTTATGACGGAAAAATAATGAGTAATAGTTGACACTACAGCCGCCCCCGCTCTGTATGTTGCCGGTCAATAGTATTCTTGGTTAGACTACGAGTAGTCCCCAATTTTCCTCACGGAGTGTAGAACGAGCGAAACGCGAGCGCGCGTGAAAATCAACACACGCGAGAAAGGCGAGTTGATTTTCACGCGAGCTCGCGTTTCGGTCGCTGTACTATCCCTGAGGAAAAATGGGGACTACTCGTAGTCTAATTCTTATAATGAAGATTTTCACATATTTCATACAATAGGTAAGATAAAAACAGGAAACGAATCGCAAGGTTCCATGCACTGGTTCTGTTCGATTTACACAGCTTTGATCTGAAAACAGTTTCGAGAACATCAGTTTATTCTCAACCATAAGAAAAGACTTGATTAGAAGTTGGAATTTTTCGCTATTTCCCATTCACGTTTTACAAACCGTTCATCTTATTAGCCGGACAGTAAGCCCAGCTCAGAACTTAACAGCTTAGAATTTAATTGTCGGCGAATTTCTGTGATCGTTCATCGTTCTGCTAGTGATAAGCTAGCCGCTTATTCACTCGTTTAGCTTGTTTGTGGACAGAGTCTTTTTTAAGAGAGAAAAAGATTGTCTGGCAAATGGTTTCCAATCAAAGATTTGTGAATGATAAACTCTTGTCTGGCAAACTCTCCCAAATGTTTATATATACACAGTTATACGCACCTTATAACTTCATCGGCACTTAACGAGTGTCTTTTGGTTCATAACTTTCAAAACAGCTGCTCCACAGAATGTCGCTGATAACACGTAACGCAAAAGAGTATCGAAGTACGACTGTACAATGAGTGTTACAAAATCACCCTAAGCAGTCTCTTTGGGCATTTTCTGTTTTACGTCATCCTAACCATGTCTTACTTGCGGTCGTGAGCAATAGAAATTACTTAACGATTCCATGCGGTCCCTAATCAAGCAAATCGAGATTTTTTCTGGTATACCTACTGCATATTTCAACTGTAAGTACTTTTCTATATATACGCACGAGCTACTAGGATGCCTCCTCGGGATTTCGCCTTCTAGGCAAAATCCCTGCGGGGGCAATAACGGCAACAGTCAGTAACAATCAGTTAAGACCATCGGTTTATCAATAAACGGATGCTCACACCCAAAAAACCAGCTCAACGCGAGAAAACAAGATTCACTGGTCGAGAAGTTCGAGCTAAGGTAACCTGCGCAGCGAGACGTTCTCCTCGTGTGCTTATTGCCTTGACGGATACCTATGGTCCCTACGGTGCAAAGCATAAACGCGTAACGTCGCGTACTACGAGGACAATTATTTTGCAAAGAGAAATTTAAATTATTTAATAGTTTGTATCACTCAGTGTACCTTGTTTTTTCAACACGTTTGTTTTCTATTGCCAATATGTTTGCCGTGCGTTATCTGTGGGAAACGTGTGTGACGAAACATCGCGACAAATGACAACGGACCGAATGTCCCTAAAAAACCACGTGCTTGCAAAACAAAATCGTACTTCCAGGCAGTCACGTTGCGTAGTGACTGCTAAATTGCACGTGCACTTTAGCACGTAAGGTTGGTTCGGCGGCTACAGGCAGAGTTAAAACTTCTACAGAAATTCTCGAATTGAGTTTGGCCAGAGTAATTTCTTTGCTATTTCTGTCCATTCGTAATTACTTTATGTGTTGATTGAGTTCTACTAGTAACTAATATTTTTTAATCGTTTGTGGTATTAAACGTTGAAAGTCGCAATGTGGGAAAATGCAAACACGAATCTGTTGTTTTTGCTATGCAAACATTCAATTAAAATGTCACACATTTGCATAAATTCAAAACATTTCATCTTTATTATTGTAATATGGTAATTTCGCTATTAAAATAGTCCCAGAACTGGCTAATCCTCACGAACGCAAACTAAGGGTCTGTTTACATGGAGTGGGGGACCCCGGTCGAGTGAGGTTGGTTTCTTTTGTTTTCACGCTCTGGGGGACACAAAACAAAAGAAACTTACCCCACTAGACCGGGGTCCCCCACTCCATGTAAACAGGGTCTAAAATAACGGATCAAATTCCTCCTTGTCATAACAACGCTTTATAAAACAAAGAATGGGAGATAACGGGTATCGACCATAGTCCCTTCGGCTCCGAAGGTTACGCTTTACCGCACGTACGGGAACAATAGAACATGGCGCGTCATTTCAATCATCGTCGAAAATAAACCGTATGCTCAGCACGAGAGTCATTTGCATACAATGAAAGTCGTGACGATTCTTATTCCCAGTTTCCACGGTCTCCGCTGGGAACGCCTGGGACCTCAGCCGTCGATTTGTGTACTAAATACGAAAGAAAATAAAACGGCTTGCAGATTATGAGTCTCGCTGCTTACTCAAGCGAGACTAATAAAAAACACAAACATTTTATTTCTGATGTTTTTACTTTTTGTGTTATATCTTTAATGCCTTCTGGAAAAAGCACGGAAATTCCGCATGGAATTTTTTTAGAGTTAATTTTTGTTCGAGGGACTTTTGGGGGGTTTTTTGGAAGTCCTGGGGAATTTTTTTGTTTTGATTTTGCCTCCATTCGATCATCATCGCCACCACTTGAAATTCGGAGTACCCCCTGGGGTACTAATTAGACCTGTCGTTGAAAAAAAATATAATCAAAGAGTTTTCTTTGCAAATGTGTAATCAGTACATGGAGAGGAAGGAATTGAGCTATGAAGTAAATTGCGATCAAAGGAGTGAAGCCGTTAGCTTTCTTAATTACAGAAAAGCAGCTGCAATAAAAGCAATATCCAAATCATGGAGACCAGTAGCAGTAAAATCTTACTACTTGTGAAGGATGGAGAAACCAAACCAACGCTGTACTTCGTAGGAAGCTTGACACGGCAAGAAGCTTACAAACGTCTCTAATATTGCACAAAGAACTACCAGATTGCCATGGTCAACAACTGCTCCAGCAATAGGCCATTTCCGAGTTCCAAAAAAATCACACGTTCAAAGCGAGGCTAAGTGCGAAGCCATTGATATGAAAATGATTTTTAATTATGATGCAAATGAAACTCATTTTCGCACTTAGCCTCGTTTTGAAAGTGAGATTTTTTGGAACTCGGAAATGGCCTATTTCATTAATTGCCCTCACCACTGTTTGAAACACAAATCTGATCCAACAGCTTAAGGTAAACAAAGGAAAGTTGGAAAGGCTTTTAAGAAAAAGGGAAGTGTGTTCCAAGTAAGAAATATATCACGCATTAATTTTGACGGAGATATTGCGCCAGATATTGCTCAAATCATGCACCCATAATGAATCGCCTTGCAAAGGTCACGGCGCGTGAAGCAGCGATGACGGCCGCCATTTTCGACTCAACCACCTGTGAACACTAAAGGACCAATGCGACCGAAATCAATCTTGAGAGTAACTAAAATGCTACCAAGTTGATCAATAAGCTATCCCCAATCCATAAGTTAACTTTACGTTGAGTAAAGACGCTTCTGTTGTGGATAAGTATTTTCTTGCTCCTACCCAAATAAGAAAGAACTTGACTTGCTTCCGCCAAGGCTTGGCTTCGAAGTGACAGATTTTCCAGGTGCTCATAATATAACCATCAAGAAGACTAAATACGGCACAGTATCCCCTACTTATGTTTGCCTCGTGGTAAATTTTAAGGATACAAGACTTCATCGAATTACAATCCAACATCATTTCATCGGCTTTAAAAAAAACGTAAAACGAATGCAATTGACGACTTCAAATACAATTTTCGTGGCATTTCACACCGAATATAGATCTCTTCTTCCCATTCGTTAATTTTAAGTACTTCGCTGTCGTTAGATAAAAAGCTTGTCTTTTCCTCGCTTGACCAGAAGATGACGTATTTTGATTTCCTTAGCTGCTTTCAAAGTGGAGAATTAAAAAGAAATGAAGCAAATAGGGACACTTGCAAACAAACCAATCAGACTGTAGAGTCGTTCGATTTGAAAGGCAGGTTGTAGCTCTACCGGTGGCTTGTGGGTAAGTCGAGGAAAGAAAGACGAGAACAATAGGTAAACTTAGGGGCTTTGTTGTTGGTGGTAATAAAATTTCTGCCCCGATTTGTTCTTTTTTGAGGAAGAAAACGTATAGAGCAAAGATTTGGGGGAGTATGTTATCTGTGGTCAACTCTACGGTGTTCTCAAAAGGAAGACATTAGACGAGATATCACAGCAAACAGGCTCGTAAGTCATGGTGCTTTCTTTGTTATTTAGTCTCAGACTATAAAATGAAGTGGATATAACTGATCATTTTAATTTTTGTACCATTTACTTTGTAGCATTCAAGTTCCTTGCGACTTGAGCCAAAGGTTTTCATTCATTAGTCTTAAGTGCCAATTTATCACATGAACTTACGTATATATTGTCTTGTCTGAACTCTTACTTTTATAAACTATTTTTCTCGGGTAAATCTGCGTTTGTTATAATAACCTCTGTCATTATTTTACGACCACGTATTTTTTTTGTTATTGACAATCGTTAAATTTATTCGTCTTTAATTAGCTATCCTAGTTTAAACCACTCAGAGTTACACCTATTTAAATAGGTTATGCTTATTTTTTGTTTGACAGTTTTTCGCACTTATCCTAAGTACCGCGCAGAATTATCGCTCTTGTAGAAATTGAATTAGATGTGTTGACCTTCCCGTGCAAAACACCCGCACGCCACCTGTACCAGGTCGTACAGGAAAATACACTTTGAGTGTCCATGGCAACTGTCTCCACAGAGCCTCGGCTGGTAGGGCTAAGATGAACATTACAGAAAAGTAAATTGGAACGTTTTCTGCGAAAATTCAGACAATGAGGTTTATAGTCCAAAGAAGTGTTTCTGTCTTGCTCTTGTCGTTGCAGGCGTTTAAGGCTTATATGGTTCATGCTCTATATTTCAGTTTGCGGAAATTCTCTCAGTCCGTCAAAATAAGGCTTTAAGAAATGAAGGATAATTCGGACCAAAGGTGTTTAACTAGTTGGAGTCTTCAATTCTTGGAATGACGAGACTGAAACATACAAAACTTAATTCAGAAAACGCTGTAATAAGAACGCGTAACTCGGGTTTTGCTAACGGTCAAATCAAGTATCAAAACCGCCTCCTACTGATATTATATAGCAAATACGTAAGTTCTGTCTGGTGATTTCCTCAGGTATTTATCGCTGTAAAACGATAATAACCTCTTCTCGTTAACTATGAGCTAATTGGCCAATCAGTATGCAGGAATCACAGAATAGAGCACAAGAAGAATTTTACTAACAAGTAGTCTGTTAGACTATTTTTTCTTAGAATTGAGCGAGTAAAACACGCGAGTGCGCGGAAATCACCTCTCGCGGGGAGATCGGTCTCGAATGCTTTAGAGCGAAAAGATCGATACGTTGTCTGATAGGTAGTACGCACCGCGCACTGACAGTCGTCAAGCCTCACTTGATTTTACTCAGTCTTTGCTAACAGGCATCGCCCTTTTTAAAGTTTAAAATAGCTAAGGAAATAAATTGGGAAAGCTCCGTATAAAAGTGTTATTAAGTAAAATTTTTCTAACTGGCGCGCTTGAAATTGAATCCAGAGTAAACGATTTTCACTTGACCCGTAGAAAAAGCCAGATTCATTTTGATCGCAAAAAACAGAAAATAAAATTAAAGTAAAGAACTTGAAAGTTCCATACAAATCCCTGGAGACCACAGCTGAATGTGTTCTAGTTTGACAGTTTTTGACAAGGTAGTTTGTGTGATATGTATCGACTAATGTTGCGGTTTAGTTACTTTAGTTCGAGTAGAAACCAAGACACGTACTTTCACATCATTTTTCAGTGCTAACTTCAAAAAATCAATGAAAACTTGAAGTCATGGTTATTAGTTCTCCATTTAAACATTTTTTGATTCAAAACTAGCCAAATGGCACCTCTTGTCAGCAAAAATGGCACCTTCAACAATTAGATGTTTATAAGATTTGAATTTTGTCTGTCTCGCATCAGTTGAGTAAGGGTAAAGACCGAAATAAAAATGATGTGCTTTACTGAAACTTCAATGTTATGCGAAATATAACACGATTTTATGTCATATCTCCAGCAATTTTTTGGATAGTACTTTAGGCCTTAGTGCACTCAAAAGGACACACGAGTTAATCCAAAGTCGGTTTCGCACGTTAATATTACAGATGTAGAAAATGATATATTTGATTGAAATTTGAGATTCTTGTGGCGATGTTTACAAATTAGAAGTCTAAAAACCTAAACCTCGTCAAAACAAACAAACAGGAACACACAGAGAAGAAAAGCAAGAAATCATCCTCAGATTCATGTTCATGGCATTATTAGTAATCGGATGAAATTCAGGCTACATTATTGAAAGAGAAAACGATAATAACATAACGTATTCTATCCAGCCTAATTTGAAAGAGTTAACTAAAATTCAATGAAGTACTTCCTCCTTTCCAGTTGACAATTTGTCACTGAATTTATTTATTTCTTTAGGCTACAATAGTTAGGAATGATTGTTTGTCAATAACGTTAGAACTTTGGGTTGGTACCCTAACTTTTAAGTTGGACTATCCCTGGGTAATTTTCCCAGCCGACGGAGACTGACAGCAATTGTGATTTTCCTCCAGAGTTGAAATTATTCTAACAATCTTTGAAAAGAATTTAAGTCTCGAATCACTTTGCCTATAACTACATTTTCGAGTGGCTCCGTAAGTATAAATTTTGGAGGCAGTGCTCAGTATTTAGTAATGTTTCATTATGTGTTTTCAAACTTCCAAATTAACCAAGTACTTAGATTGTAGAACCCTTGATTACTGCAGGGCTTTTACTTTCGGATGAAAACTTATTATTTTTATTTTTGAATATCAGTTGAATCTTGAGATTCTTGAACAGCAATAAAGACAGGTTGTTTAAATTTTGAAAATAAGCGGTTTATAGCATAAAAGCTTCAGGGAGGTTTGTGTTTACATTGTCCCCATCGGGGGTGTGAACCTAATGAAAAGGCGCAAAGAACCGTAGGAAAAAGAAAACAGTTGCTGAAATACAGGAGTAAAATTAAGATCCTTGTAGGTACTCGGTGATTTTTGCACGCTCTATAAATAGTAAAAAGCTGGCTTAATTGTGTCTTTTACAAAGAAGTACTTTGATTATACTCTTTTTGATTGATATTACTATAATTATTTTTTATTTTTAAATTTTCTGCCATATTTCTAACCTCGCTGTTTAAGAAAACTGAAAATTTTCTCCTTCGATTTCCAAGGTTCTCTTAGCTTAACACCAATGTGTTGCATGACACCCGAAGATCATTGAGTAACATTACGTCAGAACACTTTCATTTTCCAAGACACAACAGAAGGAAAAGGCATTTTTTCCACGCAAAAAAATTGTTAAGAAATTCTAATGGGAGTCAAAACATAAAATCCTGCCCCTATAAGTCGAAAATCAAAACCATGAAAACATACTCAGTGATTATTTTTTTCTCAAGAGGGCGTGAATGAAGAAACTCAAGAGCTTATTTGCTCTCGTTTCCACACTCCGACAACCTGTTCGCGCGCTTAAACTCGAGTTGTGATTGGCAGAGTAGTGTTCAGGGTCAACTGATTACGTCATCGCATCTTAATGTTGTGTATCAAGTGTCTTAGTCTTCACGAGCCGGTGATGCCACGTTAAGCGCGATAACACTGACGCTAAATAACGCAGGCTCAGGTTCGGCGCCCCTCGCCCAATCAACCAGTCAAACCTCTCATACTGGTTGCCAATTCGCGAACTCAGTTTCAGAGCAAAAAGCGCCGGAAGCTTTGTAGGTGGCAGCCATACTTTTTTTGTAGAACGGGCTGATAACTTCAGGTTGGTGTTGTAACTACGCAGTGTTTTTAAAACTACACTGAGAGGGAACTGTGTAATATATTTGCGGATCAAGTGGTTCAAGATATCGGTGGGAAATGCCTTGGCCAGCGTGAGGTCATTTGTCGTGGTCACTACATTCTGGCATCGGCAAAAGCGAACAGGATCTTTATATCAATTCGATAACGGACTTATTCATCAAGGGGTTGTTTCGGGAACCCAAAGCTCAAGTCTCCAAAAGAGGAGCTTCATTGTTTCCTTTGCACCCGGAAGTGATTGATATCACGTTTAAAGGACCTTTTCTGGAGGCATTACGGTGATATATCTTGTTTGTGCAAGACGTCTCCCACCGATATCAAGTTAAGTCCACTGGATAGCATTATCATATCAGTTATCAAAGGTATTTTATGGTCAAGTAAGGTAAGCATTTTGTTATATAAAGTGTGAAACGTTCGAGGGATTTATTCGAAAGACTCGAACGTGTGTTTGTGTACCTTCTGTTCGAGTCAGACTCTGTAATGAAGCTTGATCTGGCGAACTACGCAAATTAGACACCTGACGCTCCCGTTTTAATTTATAGTAGCAAATTTATTTTACATCTGCTCTTTTGGCCGTGTTGCTTTAAATGGTGCTTGAATGCAGAACTAAAAAAAAGAAGAATCGCGTTACAAACACCCAAAAAACAAACAGCACGGTGGGAAAGTAATTCAATACCACCCTTTTGTGGATGGTCACTCCTGAGAAACAATCCAGCAACTTAGAAGTAATTACACCACGCTGAAAGAGAGAATTGCTATCATAAAGCAATAGTTATAGAAAAGATTTTTACTTTTTCTAGTAACATGAGTCTTTTTAGGTCACTTTGGTGCCAAGGTTACAACAAGATAGAATTCTCTTATTCTTGGGTGACGGAAAGTTGACTAAGGGGCGTAAGGCGATGAAACGATTGTTAGCCTTTATGAGCAACTTCAGGTAATTTTATTTGCAAGGGAAAAAAGCCCGCGAAAAATTACAAATCCAAAAACCCTTCGTTAGCTAAAGATCTAAAAATTACAAACCAGAACAGAAAATGTCACAACAGGCGGCTGTTATTGGCCGAAAGATTTTTAAACACCTGTAGAGCGGACCAGTTGAATGAGTGCTGTCCCCCTAATCCAACACTACGTTATCCTCAAATAGTTAAGTCATTAGACAAAGATAATTAACTATTCATTCACCAGTTGCCTAATATATAAACAATTTACTGGTGGAATGAAGTCACGGTAGCCTGGCTAGAAACCAAACTCCCCAACTCCCTTCCTATGTTGGCTTGACGGAAGGGTCAGTTTCATTTTTGGAAAAATAGTGTTTTCTGTTTATTTTCCTAGGTCATGAGGATCGCTTCCTTGGCGGTACTAGTCGCCGTAGGCCTAGTACATTTTCAGTTATCGGTAAGTACTGATTTATAAACGAATCACTGAGTTTAGTTTACTGGGCGTGTTGTCTTAGTCGATCGAACGTTTGATCAATGGAACGATTGATCGAACGGTTGGTGGCTAATCAAAGAACCGTATCATTTTGGATGAGTAACTCCAGGGCTTTAAAACATATACCGACGACTTAAATGTATATACGCAAACGGCACAACTGAGTACTTTTTGTACTACCATAGTCTCTTACTTAGTAAATTAAAATTGCTGTGCACAGTCCATTATGGTTTATCGTTTTTATTTTTTACGATGATGTTTTGCTTAACACACAAAGACATATGACATATGTAGTTTCAGATTATTGGCATCACAGATTTTATCAAAGATCAACAAACTACATCGATCGAGGGATGCGAAACTTCTTGATATCTCTGTTTCCAAATGGTTCTTGATTTAATGTATGGAAATATTTTATCGTAATGAATATTAGCTTCGGAACCATTTTCTTCTCTATTTCGCGCCATATTGAGTGTCAACCCACCTGTTTTAGCACCAAATATGGAGTGAGTGAAATAAACTGTGAAGGAAGTTTCTTGTTAATTTTTTACAATCACACGTCGATTACATATTCCTTTTTCCGTCCGTTTCGATTTTTCGCTATAATTTTGCCAGAAATTAACGTTTAAATATAAGAAATGGCGAAGGAAAGAAGTTCTAATAGTTAAAATTTTAAAGCAACAAGTTACTGGACAAGATCGGCAGAATACAGAAATCACTAATCCAGAGGAACAAAGCCAAGGCCCAATCAGGAACCCTAAAATACCCAGCTACGATTCCATGCTTGCGGTGGTTGTCGTAACTTTTGCGGCGATATATGTGGCCACAGACAAATCGGTAATACAAATGCTTTTAGGTGAACTTAAGTGTAGTCATCGATCGATTTTAAAACCGGGTGAATTTCATGGTGGCATGTGATAGTTATCCTGGTGGTTTTGACTATGGCGATTTCATTTGTGTTCACTGATTTTACTTATACAACGATACGCTACCCGAGAGCTGTTTATAATTACCTTGCTTTCAGATTATAAGGCTTAAGCATGGGTCAAATCTGTTTCTGGAATTTTAGAGTGTTTGCTAACCGATCGAAGATAAAGAAAACTTCGTCCCAGTTACAGGGAGTCTGGCACAGACAAGACAGAACAAAATAATATATGTACGATATGGACTGACAAATTTTGATAGCTAAATCGAATACGCAATTTTAATTTGTCTCTTGACTTATTACCTCACAGTCTTATTCATATGTTTTCTTGTCTTTGTTAGCTTATATAAGACGGTAATGAAGCTTTTACAATCATAGAGCCAAAAAGAGTTACCAGGAATTAGAAAATATCCTCACTAATTGTTTTTCATTGTTCTTTCCGTAAGGCGTCGCTGCCAATGTCTTCAGTCCCTCCACTCCTAAACAAACTACTAAAGGATCAGAATGTAACACTGGGTTTCATTCTCAAAGGCCTTCAAGGTCCTCCCGGTATGAATGGTATGGCAGGAATGTCTGGATCTCCTGGACCACAAGGACCTCCAGGTTTCAAGGGAGATCCTGGTCCGCCTGGTTTTCCAGGTACACCAGGTCTACCCGGTTCTCCGGGTTTCCAGGGTCCTCCTGGTATGGATGGTGCTCCTGGATCCCCTGGTTTCCCCGGTCCTCCTGGTTTCCCGGGAGGTAGCGGAATGCCTGGTATGCCCGGTATGCAAGGTCCCCCTGGTCCGCAAGGTCCCCCTGGCCCCACACCCATCAGATACGTAAGTACACCATTTTAGTCTTATAACACTAAACACTATTCGAGCTTAAGGTTTTAAAGGATACAGACGAAAGTACTTACATACTTAAGGCCGATCTCCCAATCGAGCCTCCATGACAAAATCTTCCCACACATTTCGATACAGCATTGCCGACCAAATATCGCTGAAGTTGTCAAGACTGGTGTTCCTTTTGGTGTTGTGGATATAGTCAACTAGCTTTCTTCCTAACTCTTCCTACAGTTGGTTGCCATAACATAACTTTCGAGGCGACAACGACAGTACGTATCTGTCAAAATCAATGAATGACACCAGAGTGATCAGTGATAGCAGTCACGTGTTACCCTTCAAAAGGTTTCTTACTTAATTTCTTTGCTAGTGTTCAAGCAAGTTTAAGAAGTTTCAAACTTGAGCAGTGCCGGTGACGGATATTCCAGTTTCTGATAATTCTTGAATAAACTTATGTCTTTGTTTTCACAGAACGGCACAGTGAAATGTGAAGAGGACACAGCTTGGCTCAGATGCAACGAATACAAACACATTAGCATAATCTCTGCTTTCTGGGGAAGACGAAACTTCGGCTTGTGCACAGAGCACACAGGAAATCTTAAGTTTAATCAGTACTGCCCGACAACACCATTGTTTCTCACAAAAGTAAAAGACGCCTGCGAGGGAACGACCATGTGCGAGATTAGATGCACGAAGTTCTTTTTCAACGACCAATCATGCGCTGACGTATACAAATACTTGGAAGTCTACTATAAATGCATCGAAGTTATTAACGGGCACGAAGTTGTCAACGAGGATAACCTACTCAACGCTAACTACCTGGGCTGAGCCAATAAATGAAAGAACAAAACGAACTTTCTATCGGACGTTGCATTTTCTTGGCTCTTTAATGGATGTAACATTTTACTTTGCTGGAAAGAGTTCTATTTGTAAAAACGGGCTTGCCTGATATGGAGAATATGAGCGAATAAATCGTATCATAACCAAGGCGAAAGCCTGCAAATTTCTAATTCTTCCGCGAAAGAAGACGACATACATGGCACTTGTTCCATGTATTATATCGATTTAAGGTAGTTTTCTTTCTGTACATGACATGATTAAATCATCTTCGTAGAATCGAACGATATTTGCTCGGCTCGACACGTTGTTATAAAATTTAACAAGAGAATGATTGTATTTAGAGAGCTAGGGTGTGTTTTTTTTGTTTGTAGACAGTTTTTGTTCTAAAACGTTACTAATTAGTGCTACTTAAATAAGAGATTAACCGACCAACACAAACTAACCAAACGAACTGGTACAAGCCACGATACAAAACGGAAAATCACTACCTGTTTCAATCGTTTGTGTATGATATTATAGGGCGATTTATGATGTTATCTTCAGTCATATGTAAATAAACTGATAATGGAATGGTTTACTGGTGTACACGCTAGTATTATAGTTCTAGAAGAGTTAATCGGTGGTGATATGCTGTTATTTGGTGACGAGATGTGAATGAAGTCTACTTCATCAGTTTGAAGTTTAAATTTTGTCAATAAACGACATTGCCGTTAACCACTCATGTACTTTTTTTCAACAAGTTGAGTTGTGTTTTAGCAATCAACCGTGGCACGATAATAAAGTCTTTTTAGGGACCGACTGACTACAAGACTTTGTGTCTTTGTTGTCTTTGCTTTAAAATAAAATGGAACTTTTGCAGCCACACCTGACCATATCTTAAGCAGGAACAAAGCTACTATTTTCAATCACTTCTTTGGAACCTACTTGTTGCCATTTCAGGTAGTTAACGCTTTCTTCTTCAACGCTGTTCCAATGGCGACGGTGTTTAAAAGAAAACTGATAACATTAATGGTCAGACTCTGTTCACACCTGCACATTTCCGAAAGCCTTTCGGGTTAACAAAAAACGAATCAAACTTCCCACGTCCACATTTGCGTTTAAGCATCGTTGACGAATGCCCACACTGCGGCATCAAAAACGTATAACTTACGATACGCTTAATTCGTTTTTTTTTTCGGGCGTGCGCACTACTCACTGTGCATGCTCCACGGCAAGGTAGCAAAACAGCGCCACACTATAAATACTTAACCTAAAAACTTGAATTTTACCCAAAGAATAAAACCACTTTAAAGGAGCAGTATCCGGTTACCGTGCATGTAACTTTGATTTTCTGACAGGATGTCGCGAATTCAAAAGATGCGAGGAGAGCAAGAGAACCTTGAAAAATCCGTTTGCATCGCGCTTGGCCGAGTTCGATACTAAAACTTCTCAGAATTACAGATCAATGATATATTGTTCCCTTTAAGTTTTGATTTGGGCAAAACAGTTTTGTTTTTGGCGTTAGTTTCATTGCTGTTGGGAGGACCAAAGAGAGAAGGGGAGCGTTCTAATGCCAGTTGAAGGCTTATTTCTCCCGCCAGCTTCCATACAAGCTCAGTTAGTCGTGAAAGGAATAAGCAGAAATGGCACAGCAACAATAGACTATGTTAGAAACAAACCATTGAGACACGAATGTGACTGAGGATATCTTGTGGAAGCTTCATGAAATATGATGTGTTGCAACGACATGTTAGTAAACTTATAATAAAACCTCCTCACGGCGGACAAAATCAAACAACAGGCACTAAATGTTTAGGGAAACGGGTGCAATGAAATCATAATATAATCTTTGACTAACCTTTGCGATGCTTCTTCGCGTTAAGATTGCTTTTTTATTTATATCTTTCCAACTTTTGAAGCGAGAACGCGAGCAAATATTACTGGGCTTAGACTTGCCACAAATTGACCTCTGACACGAGTTTCACAGCAGAAAAGCGAGCGAAACGAGCTTTTTAGGTCGCAAGGAGGCCGAGCTAGAGACAAAATCGAGAGAAGTCTTCAAGCCGCGGTCCAAATTTTTAAAGAAGACGAAAGATTTCTTCGAAAGTCTAAAATGTACTTGAGAATGTAAACAACAAATCTCCGTCGGCGGTGCGGTCCAGAAGGAAATCTTGTCGTGTCAATATGACATTTCTATTGTCTTTTTAATAATAATAATAATGAAAACAATTATAATAATAATAACAATAATTAGAAGAAGAACATTTTTATAGCGCCTATCCAGTACTGATCTAGGCGCTTAACGAAGAGAAAAAATTAGAATTAAAATAAATTTAAATTTTAATAAAACACATATAAAATGAAATAAATCTTCCTAACGACCAAAGTTCGGGGGCTGAGACAGCGAATGCTCTAAATCCATAGGTCTTAAGGTTAAAGCTAACAGGATTCAGACTGAGCGTAGAAGATGACCGAAGCGATCTAGAAGGTAAGTCGCGGGTGATTAGGTCTTGAATGCAGGGCCTTGAAGGTAAGTAGTAGAATCTTGAATTTAATTCGTTCAGAAACAAGTAGCTAGTGAAGATCTAAGAGGACGGGAGTGATGTGATCACACTTCCTAGAGCGTGTAATCAGTCTGGCAGCTGCACTTGTGCACCGATTGAAGCTTTTTGATGACGTTTTTAGGGAAATTATGTAGTAGAGAATTGAAAGTTTGGAGGTTACAAAGGCGAGAATAAGAATCTTAGTAGTTTGCGTTGATAAGTATTTTCTTTATGCGAGAAATGGTGCGAAAATGATAAAAGGCAGATTTACAAACATTGTTGACATGGGGAAGCATTGACATACTGTTATCGAAGATAGCGCCAATATTTCTTGCATGTGAAGAGGGCTTTATTCTGTCAGTTCCAAAGCGGTGGTAGAGATTATTGTGGATTATACTTTGAGAATAAGTAGAGAAGCGCGGTCTTGTCTTTGCCTTTAGTTTTAGTCTGTAGAAGGATACCACTTATCAATGTCGGACAGGCATTCCTCAATCTTAATGATACTGTTGGTTAATTCCATATCGTTGTTTGTAGTGAAAGAAATATATAATTGAGTGTCATCGGCGTAAAAGTGAAATCGCATTTCACGGAATTGAAGAATGGTGCTGTGTAGAGTACATACAGAATCGGGCCAAGGACAGAACCTTGAGGTACACCGCACTTGAGCTCGTGAGACTGTGATATCTACATCCTTCAATTAACGCAAATTGCGAGCGATTAGTAAGGTAGGAGCGAAAGCATTCAAGAGCTATGCCAGAGATAGAGTATTTAGTACAATCTTGTAAGGAGGATATCGTGATTCAAAGTGCAGCAGACCAGTCTAACAGTAGAAGTATGACACAGTGACGTTTATCAATAACACCCAAAATGTCATTATGAACTCGCACAAGGGCGGTTTCACCACTGTGAAAAGGCTTATGGGCAGATTGTAGCGGCTCATTTAGCTGGTTAGCTTCTAAATATTTTTGAAGACGTACTGCGACGACCTTTTCAATAACTTCTGAGATCACCTTTAGGTTTGAAACAGGTCTGAAGTTTGCAAGAACTTCATGATCTAAGCAGGCCTTCTTAAGTAGTAAAGATAGAAGAGCAGTTTTAAATGAAGACGGATAATGACCGGATCCAATTTGTTAAGAAAAAAAAAACGATGACGCTAGCGCGTGCGCATAATCGGGACGCTATCCCTTTAACAAGTAGGTATACACACAGCGAAAATTTACTGTAAAGCAGATATCAATCCCCTAGAGATTTCGTTCGGGGGAGGTGGGATTAGATGGGCCTGCGGGTAATTATGGAAGGGATTTTCTCTCACAGACTATTGCAAAGTTCCTGATTAATTGTTTTACTGGCCGGGGTGAGAAGAAATTAAATGAGACAGAGGACATTTAGGCGCACACCGTTTTTTTTTATTTTTTTATCTTTCTGTCGCTTTACAAGAATCCATGTGCACAACGAGCGACTTTTTCAGGTGCCTTGAGGTCAGCAAAGACCTATTAAACACCGGAAAAGACGATATGGCTATTTCAAAGGTCTGCAAATTTCTTCCGCGCGCTAAGTCCCGCGGTAAGTTGAAACATTACACGTTCCTTATTACCATGTGCACACAAACGCTTTCATTTAAAATCCCGTGTAATAAAAATCTTAATTTCAAATAGACGGAAGTTTAAATACTAGCTAAAATGTCTTTGGAGAAGGTTTGTAAAACAAGTCGTACTAATTGCTTTCTATATTATCTGTTGTTGTCCTCATGCGAATCTTGTATCCCATCTACCCTTTTCATTCTTGTTTATCAGCTTGATGGTGAGCAAAATCTTACGTAACAGACAGCTAACAATTCCCTGAAACATTTACTCGAAGGGAGGTAACTAAAGGTCAAATGCATAGTCTGTTTTTTTTTGCTTGGTGTTTAATGGTTAAATTAATGTTTGATATTGCTCTGAAATCACTTCACATAATCATAGAAGAGATAAGATTAAGGGTCGTAAAATGGAGGCAAACGATTTACAGAATCACGTGGTTTTCCTTAATAAAGAACTCAAAGCAAACTAGACTTCAACATAAGTACTTCGTTTATTAACAAACGTTCGTCTTCAAGATGATCAAACAATATTAATGAGTCTGACAAGCATCATTTGTTACACTTTACTTTTCTTATGACCATGGGAAATCACAAAACGGGAAATAATATCACCACTTCCGCTTCCGCTCCCACTTCCACTTCCACTTCCGCTACCTATGAGCGAACGGGGTGTCATCCGTGATCCGCGTCCATTCACAAAAAATCCCAAGGGTAATTTCTGGTTGCGGTAGAAGCTCACTATGCTCTGACGTTCATTCTTAAGGTGACGGGGCTTTCGTGGAACTATAGAACATTGCTGGTAGGAGAACAACAAGTCAAATTAAGAAGATTTTTCTTTACTGACAGTAGCTATACCAGGCATGGCTGATCAAAACTACAATTGCATTCATAATAGCACGCAGAGACAGTCTCAATAGAACCCTTCCTACGATACCCGCCAGAATGCACGGGCTTAAGGATACGAGGGCACAAAAAGGCAAACAGGATCACTGTATGTCGGAGCCAAGTCTCATAAAAACACGTCCGCCCCCATGCACGTCCCACGGCCTGTTGATGGGCTAAAAGCAATGTCACGTGGTTTTTCAGGGGGTAAAGAGGAAACAAAATCAAGTCTGTCGATACAAGAAATTACGGTACAATTTTTATTAGGCTGCCCCCGAGGGCAATGCCTCTTGCTTCTGTCTGTGTGAAAAAAAGACAAAATGGAGGACTGAACTCCTAGAAGGCTTTGCGCGTCCCATTCTCCCTTCAATGGGGTCGATTATCGCGGGGATGGGACGGGTCATGGTCGTCATGTAAAGTTCCAGTTAAAAATAATGCTAATCTTTTCTTGTTTCAAAAGGCAAACTTGCTTACTAGCTATCCGGTATAGTAAGCACAACTATCCGATATGTCTCTCTCCTCTTTAGAGATCGACGCGTCGCAGTTTTGCTCCGTTACGGAAGTCACGCCGAAATCAACTGTTCTTATGTAGGAACAGAAGCCCTAGCCGGTACAATTTTCGTGTGGAGCAAAAGCTACCTGGAAAAATGTGACTCTAGCCTGAGTCAGCTGTTGAAACAGAAATAATCATGAATTTTAAATAATACGAATTCAAAACTAAATCAAGATTCAGTACCGATGAATGATTCCACTATGGGGTTCTGATAACCAATGCCATTGCAATTGTGATCAACTGACCAGAAGAAGTAATTAAATAATTAAACAATAAATCGACCTAATACACGTTTTTGATTAGCGCTATTTCAATTCGTTTAGTTGCGAAAAAACAAATTCAAATAATTCCGCATGGAATTTAAACTTGTCCTTTTGCCTTGAGTAAATTTGCTTTCTACGCCCTGAAAACTATCGTGTAACAACGAAATGAATTTTCACGTGATCAACCCAACCGCGGGGAGAGAAGCCATGATTATAACGCCACGTAGCTGAAATTAAAACAGTGATTGTAAAAGGTCAAAATGGTAAGCCAGACGGAATACTACAGGCACTGAGTAGCACTTACTGTAACTGCATATAAAGCGACCGCGATAAAAACCAGCTTTATCATCATCTAGGGAAGGACCTTCAAGCAGCCTACTATTCAAGGCACCAGTGTGATACGCTTACTAATTCAATAGGAACTGTTAGAATAAGTCAAAAGTCTCCTTCTTATAATCACAACGTATGATTATCTCATTTAGAAACAACGCATGCCCATACATGTTCACTGAACAGGTCAAACAGACATGGAGATGCAGAAGACTAAGAACACCAAATCTTTCGACATACAAGCAAAAGATTGGAAACACAATGAACATTAATTATCACACGACAAAATAACAGCCAAAAAAAAAAGGAAACTTTCTAAAACACTAATTAATACCCGATTAACCACCAGTATTTCCAAGCGTTAGGTAAGAACGCCCCCTACCAAACGCTAACATCATTTTCTACAGAGCTTCTTTTCTCTTCCTATCTTGCAGGAAGAGAAGAAGCACATCATAATAGTTTACGCTGCCGAAAGAACAGTTAGTTTATTCAGGTCACCGTAAATTGGAGGAATGGAGGTCGGTTTTTTTTGTCGACCGTTAACTGATAAAAACAGTTCGCATGGGGTGCCGGATTTTCAGTGATCAGCTATAATTCAGGTCATTTCACAGTAATCAGCAAATATTTAAGCACCTTCAGACTCGTCTTAACTTTCACGTTTTTTTTTTAACGGTATTAATTAAAATCTCACTAGAGGTGCCCACCCCTTTGAACATGTAGTGTCGAGGAACATGCGCAGATTGCCGAAAAACGTTTGCGTGATTCAGTCTCTTCGTGACAAAGGAAAATGTTGCTTATCACCTCCCGAAGAGCATGCAACTGTTAAAGGAGACTTCTGAGAAGCTCATCACCTCCTGACGATCATGCGACTGTTTAAGAAGACTTCTGAAAAAAGCTCCAAGCCGCGAACACACTCTTAGGCTTCAACCACACAGTAAGGGTGCTCTCTTAGGCACCCTGATTCATGTACTCAGAGACGGTAGTCCCTAGATTTATAATATGATACACATACACTGTTTTTATATTTTATCTCCAACATTCATGTGGCAAAACTCCTTAGCTCCTTACTCTACTGATGATTAATACATGAAAGTTGTGAATTTACCAGTCTATTGTCGCCCAGCGGTCTGCCGGATTGTGGGGGGGTGGGGGGGGGGGCAGAATTTGTCGTCAGATAATGTATCTTACGCTAACCAAGAAATAGAAGAGCCATTTCGCAGTGGACAGTTATATGTTTAGACAATTCTTAGCTAACCCCACGCAGACTCTCTATTAAGAGAGGGGCGTTTTCTCTTATCGCAGCGTTTTCTGTTATCGCAGGTGGTGATGGTTCACGCACACATTCGCGTAAACAGCGTTTTAGCTTTACTAACCCAAAGAAACATTAGTACTACAACATCCTAGGCACGTTTCATCTAGGTAATAACTTATTAGCAAGTTTTCGCCTTTTTAGTGTTCAACCAGACGGTACCCCTTTTGTGTTTTGGCTAGCTGAATTACATAGACCCGCCCGGTCAGTTTGTTAATGGTTGAACGAGAGACCCTGCTGTTTCTGTTACGTCGAACGTCGAGAGATGATACAAATAAACCCACAGTTTAGTTTACGCTGACTTGCTTGAGCGAGTCTAACCAAACATATGCACTCTAGTGTTTCTTTGGTTCAGTGAATTTTTCCCAACCATGACATCAACAATACTGGCCAGGTTTTTCAAGCGTGTTGAGGTTTAAATAACACTTTGTGGTTCAAGACAGCTACAGTACATACAAAACACAAGGCCTGTCTTGCGTGGAAACAGTGAGAATTATTTTCTCTTTGTAGCTGAGTGATACAGAAGCTTATTTGTCCGCCGATGAGTGATATAAAGGTGAGATTCGTAAATGGACAATTTTCATACACAGATTCAGCTAAGGTTAGAATATTTTCGCTAGGAAGGCTAACGTTCTCATCAAGTCTCTTAAAAAGGATTACCGTCGCTGTTAGAATTAAATAACGTTTATTTGGGAGCAAGAGTATTTTGAATTGCAGGAAAGACCAGTGAGCTTTCTGACAATATTTCAATTTTTTCTTTATTACCAAACAGATTCACTTCGGTAACTTCCAAAAAAATTTGTTTCAAATGTAAGGGTTAGAACTGCACTTTTGTTAAAATTAGAGAATCAATACTATCTGCGTTTAGTTTGAAAACCTTCTTCGTCGGTTAAATAAATAAGCGTCTGGAGGTAAATTGAACGAAATATTTACCACCTATTTGATTTTCAAGTGATGTGATCTGATTGCAGCTATTTTAATAACAGGGTAATCATGTTTTCTTAGTTAGTCACCTCAGCCTTTGATTTTGACATTCAAAGGTAGAAAAAGTCTTCAAACATAAGTGAAAGCAAGACTTAAAAAGCAAACTTCTTGGCGTTTATCTGACATAACTTCCCTGTTTTTGACAAACTTCCAACTATAACTTGTTTTGTTTATTGACAGTGACTGAATCATTGAAAAATCACCCAGCGTAAAAGTCGAACTGGTGCCAGATGCGCACGCTCAGTGGCTTCATTTTTGGCGGGTAGGTAAATGTTACGCGCTTGACGCATGACGTAATAACGTGTAGTCTCATTACCTAACATCTGGGACGAGAACGGTGACCAAATTGGACAGGCTTAACAGAGTCCATTTTGGAAAACTTTTATTTCTTTTCCTCGGATTTCTTGGCCGTGGATTTTGACCAGAGGTAAGAGATTTTCAAAATCACATTTGGGTTCGTTGAACTGCATAAATTATCTCATTTCATTTTCTGACACTGGGGGTTTGAGGGAGAAGATGAAACAACCCTGGGGTTCATTGAAGCGAAACGGTATTCGTTTCGTTGAGATAACGTGAATTCCACCATTGAAAAAAATCAGATACTTTTTGCTATTTCACTAGAATTTATTTCTCTAAGATTTTAAGGCCATATTTTCCTCTTTATAAGATAAAGTCGATAGTGCTGAAAAAATGATTCAAAAAAATTCCACTGCCAGGTCGACCTTACAAACAGCGTTCGATTTTTCATGTAAACTTTCCCAATGTTTTGACCTTTCGATAAGAGCCTATCTTTTAACTTCGTACAGCGTTGGATGGCTTAATCGTTAATTCAGATTTTAGCACGCTGGCGTTTTTTATTTTCCCTCCATATTATTGTTGTTTAAAGAAAGATAAACTTGCCCAGGAAACATAAGTAGACAATATCAAACTATAGTGATGACTAAGATTAATATTATAACATTACACATTTGTTTTCGTTAAATAGTAGTAAAAACAGCCAGTATCAAACAGCTAAAAAATACTTTCCTTATGTTTTGCGACGGACTAGATAAACGTTATTACTTTTTTTTCTTGCGCACAAATCAGTTAACTGAACCGTAAGAGTTATGACCGGAGAATCAATTTTGTGATCATGACACCGGTTAACATCAGGCTGTGGAAATCATGGGGCGTAGACCAATCTTGGAAATTACACATACGCAGGAGGTTGAAGTAAACACGAGTTTTTCGCTCCGCTCCTCCCAGTTTTTTTGGCTTAGTATTGGTGGCAATCGCTTCTCCTCTCGAAGGCGTGAAAGGCTTAGCATGGTTATTTTTAGTCTCGTCGGAGTGGAACCTGTTAAGACAATTTTTTTTGCACCGACCCGTAGACCTTTGCGCTTTAAAAGGTGGAACTAGTGACGTGCTGAGCGATAGTCCTCTGAACTGTACAATAATTCACGAGAGATGTTCTATCACAGATAATTGATTGTTAATTAATAGAGAGGAAACTGGAGACGCTTGTATTGGAATCAGGAATCCTGTACACTGCTGAAACCTATGCATTGGTGCAGCTAAGCGAATCAACTCCAATTGGTCCTGTTATTATTTATTTTTATCTGAAAACGTTCTTGCAGTTACGGGAGCCTACCAGACAAAAATTGTCTGTCATTTCATTGATGGTGTCTACGCTTTTGATGATATCTAAGAAGCCAATTCTCTGTTTTTATGCTACTGCTGCAAGTCATTGTGCTTAAAAATTTTAATGACAAAGTTAAATTGCATATCCCCTCACTTTCTACGAACTGCCAATTACAATGTCCCCAATATCTTAGTGGTTAAGTTCGTCAAGCTCCTTGTTTAAGATCAGATAAGAGTGGACTGTTGTAACCCGTTGTTCTTGTTTTCAAACTACCTGCTATTTCGTTTCACCACGGTTCATTATATCTCAAAGAGGATTAATTGACTAGAAAAGTGGTTAGTCTACGTTTTCGACAATCCAACATATAGAGATTTAGGTCAGTTTTTCTGATTGAATTTCAATCTCTTTTGCAGTAGAAGCAGGGCCTTTCTGCAAAAACGCTTAGAGGGCCAAAAGTTTATCAATTCTTGAAACTTTACCTTCATCTAAATAAAGATAGTTTAGCATTTCAAGGGCATTGACCACACTTTGACTGCAAAAGGTTCAAACAAATTAACTGGCTAGAAACTGATTCAATTCTTATTGGGGTGTATCCAGAATTACGTGCAGCTCGAAAAACTATCATTTTCATAACTATGTAACTACACTCCTGTATCGGAGCGCTTCTTTTGTAATAATGAAGGCATTTCTTTCGGGAAAGTGCTAAGACGGTGATGAATTAGGAAATAATCTCCTTTTCAGATTCAGTTGAGTGTCCAGAACAATTTTCTTTCGCCATTGTCTTGTAATTCTACAAATCGTGATTGGCTGAGAAATCAAGGTAAACACAAATTCAATCGTTACTTCGTTCCTTAACGTTGCTAAAACGTGTTCTTTTCGCCCTTGGTATCAAATACCTGCATCTGTGGTTGGAGATTTGATTGGTTCTTTCGATCGTCTGCAAGCATTGTATGTGGTTTTCATCAACTGGTCCATTCAATTCAAGGTTGTTTAATATTTACCTCGGGTATCCGATCGGTTAACCGTTCAGGCAAATTGTAAAGAAAATTCAGAACTCGTTGTTTACCGTTAATTTACACAGTTTCCATTTACCGAAAAATGGCCGTAAAAACCTGGTATGAAAGTTAGTTTTGAAGAAACGGGAGAAATTCTGTTTGAATTGGAACACTGATTCCCACTTGGAAAAGAGGGCAACCTTTGTAAACAGTAATAGTAAACCTTTATTGCGCCTTACTCTTATCTGTCTTTTAACAGTAAGTGTCGTTTACAATGAAATAATAACAACGGCTGTGATGAAATGAATGAATGAATGAATGAAAATCTTTATCAATGTGTCAATCTTCTAGCTGGCTACACGTAGTCTACTAATCGGGGACACCTAACACGAAAAATAAAATAATCAAAAAAATTTCTATCAAATTACAGTAATTTGCTGGAACGAGCCAAAAAACCCCTAGCCGGGGGAGGTACTCAATATACTTCATACGAGGCAGCTTCACCTCGAGGTCCAAACCCTTTGTATACCATACCATATACCTGTATAGGCCATTACAGCAAGTTCTCCGAGCCAAGAAGCCGTTTTCTATTTACTTTCACCGATTGTCAGCAGCGTTGCATGTATTCTCTCTGAGGGATCGGCTTCTGTGAATTTTTGTTAAGCTGAAACGATTCGATAACTGAGTCGTGTTCCATCTACATTTCAACCGTAATTCCCCGAGACTGTTTGTAAGCCTCAAAAAACGGCAATGATTATCGAACATTATTGCCAGAAATAGTGACATTAGTTGTTTAGAGATATCCAACTGTATTGCTTTGCGGCTGATATTGTAGAATGTGCATGAGAAACCAAAAAATGATTGACTGCCCAATGATTTGGCGTTTGGTATTCTTAAACAAAAAACTGGGAAATGAAGGCTTCATTGAAGAAGCCAACTTCGGCTGTTGAAGTAACAGTGATAATAATCGTGTCTTCTATCTGTCTACATTTAATAAGGCTTTGCAAAATGGTTTTGAGGACCGTAACTGTCCAAAGAAGAAGCCATATTTTAATCTTTGCGTTCACATTTTGTTCGCACGAGAAAAATCATACGTGCTTTGTTGATGCTGTATCTTATTAGCACCATTTGCTTCTAATTGAAGAGAAATGTAGCTCTTCTGAAAGTGCTCTTCGGGCGTCATATTAAGTAAATACTTTTAAGTAAATTGAGAGAGAACAATCAGCCCCTGATCTCGGTTTATTCCTTTTTTTAAGCGGGTCACAAAACACTACGTTAGAGGAAGGGGAGGTCAAAAGTATCAGGCCTTAAAAACCGTTGTGAGCAAATTGAATCGGGGTTCTTCCAGCATAAATCGATCTACACTTAGGAAAGAGAATCGCCACTTATGTTTTTAATTTAAGTGCTGATAAGATTAATATCCCCGAAAAAACTTATGAATTTCAAAGGCTGTGGTAAGAATTTGTAATGCCAGCCTAATAGACATTGTAGTCTAAAGTTGTCTCTCTCATGTCAATTCTCTCTGCCTCAAGTCGAGATATCGACTACCTATAAATGGATTCGATTCAAAATGAACCACCAATTAAATATAAGCTAACGTTCTGTTACTTTGAGAAGTGTTTAATCTTAGTTTGAGATCTTTAACTGTGCACAGGTGAAAGGTAAAGGGGAGGAGTAGATTTAATGGGTGACTTGTTTATAACCGATGCGGGAAAAAACTCTAAATCGATCCAATTCTATACGTGTAGGGACAACCTACAACCAACTTTGTCTAGCTTAGAAAATTTTCTTGTTTAAACTAGGAAATCAAAATCCTGGTACCTGAGAATGAAAAAAATCAGAGGTTACCGAAAAGCTCTGATGAGGCGCGCTGATTGAGCTGATTACTGATGATATCACTACTTCCCAGGATAGCTGTACTGGTACCAGTCACGCGCCATTGGAGAAAAGTGATTTAACTGGGAGCGACTGACCAAATTCTCCCTGTGTGTTTTCTTGTTTTCTTTAGGCAATGAAGGCTGATACAAGCCTGCTGAGGCTGGCTGTTGGCCTGGCCTTATTTATATTAGCGGTAAGTTGCATTTTGTTCTGTTTGTGAACACTATACAATGGGTTTATTTCCTGGTATTTCGCCTTCACTCAGTCCACTTAAACACTTTGTAAACATCAAGGGCCCTTTCGATTTAACGTATTTTGTAATATGTACCGTTGGGATCGTCCAATAGTCCTGTGGCAACAATGTTATAACAATACAGCAAAAATTTTTAGTTATGACTTTCAAATCTCGAAAGTACCGAATTTAGCGACAATTCAATATGATGATTGAATGAAACCAGATTAATCCAGTCATATACAGCCGTACTGGGTCGAAATTGTTGTTAACTTAACGAAAATAATTATCGGACCATTACAATGCCTATATTCATATTGCCAAATTCACAAAAAGTGCCCTAATTCTACTCATGACTTTTCTTTTTGGTGTGCTAATTATCAACTCTACCTTGATTGACTTAAAACTGATCCACGGACTTTGGTCTGGCCACCGGATTTTGATTATCAAACTTGGCCCTGATACCAGTGATACCCAGAATGCCCAAATATGATTACCAAGACATTAGAAAATCTTGAAACTGTCGAGTAAGAAGATAACTGGAAGCCTAGATTTGCCTAGAGTATCTCTGCAACTAAGAAATTGGATATTAACAAAAAATAAATATATATAACTTAAGCTAAATGAAAGTAACAATAAGACAAAATTTCCTCTTTTCCCAGCACTGTTCAGTTGTACCGAGAAAGCCACGTCTAATAAAGAGAAACTCTGAAGAAGAAAATATTCTGAGTTATTACTGGAACCAGAAATTACCAGTGGGATTTTTCGTCAATGGGCAAGGTGGCTTAATGGGACCTCCGGGTCCACCCGGACCACCAGGACCTCCTGCTTACTACGGAGGCGGAGGTAGTGGAAGTGGAAGCGGCGACGCTTATACCCGTGGGGGCATTCCAGGACCACCGGGTCCTCCGGGGCCACCTGGTCCACCAGGTCTCGGGGGGGCTGCAGCATCAGTAAGTAATTGAGGCTGTGACGTAGTAGATTTGAATCTCAGTGATCCGTGTTTACACAGTTGGGATCGGCCTTTAAAGGGTCTTCTATTCAATGATAATAAGAGTCCTTAAGAAAAACGTAACAGTGGTAAGTAACACCCAGTGGATTTTCAGTGTAGCTTGAATGCTATGAACACTAGATGGAAAACATAAAAAGTCTCGAAGCGAAAAAGTTCATTTCACGTTCCGTTGACGTCAATGAAAAAGAAATTAAAAACTGAAACTTATAGAAATATTTGCTTCAAGACATTTCAGGCAAATCGCTTGGCTTTCATGAGTCGAAAGTGAAAGCAAGGTTACATAGTAGCCAGGTGATTTGGCTGATATATCTCGAAGCAAATATTTTTATACGTTCCAGTCTATAATTTCTTTCTCATAAAAAGTCTTGACCACATCAGCGTTGCTGAAATCTTATCCTGTATAAATAAGTGCTTTATTTACTTCTAACACTTCCAGAGAATTGTGGTCATTTTAGGCACATGCGACAAAAACATAATCGACGACAGCCGACTTTGCACGTTTGGTACATTGAAACAACAGATTTTCACAGTACATATAATAAGTGCCGGTTTTTCGCTGTATTTTGCCTTTTAACTCTGCTTTCCAAAATAAGCGCAAAAAACGACGTATTTTTGTTTATTCCAGGGGGCTCAGGAAACCATCACGTGTGAAGGAGAGAAGGAATGGATCGAATGTCCACAATATAGAGTTATCAAAATTAATTCTGCCTTCTGGGGCCGTGATGACGCCGCCACCTGTAACACAAATGGCGTCCAACACGGACTCAGCACCGCAGAAATGTGCCCTCAAGACGAGTCCAACACAATGACCAAAGTGGAAGGACAGTGTAAAGACGAACAAGCTTGTGAACTAGCTGCAACTTCGACCTTCTTTGACAAGACTGACTGTGGGCAGGTCTACAAGTATCTACGAGTGAACTACGAGTGCCTACCTAGTGAATCACGAGTCAAAGCAGCCATTCAAAGATCAAAAATCAGCGGCTAATCTTATTAGCTATTAACTGGATCGATCAGCATGACGAGAAAACAATATAAACGTTTTTCACCGGCTAATACTGTTCAGCACTCTCAATGCCAGTTACAGAATGTATAATGTGTTACAAATTTCTGAAGCAGGGCTTGGAAAATTTCGAAGCAGGAAAAAGAAGTCATGTTAGTCGGTGAAATACAATTTGGGGAGGAACAAACTCTGCATTTGACCATTCTGTTCACAATTCCAAGGAAAACAACAATTAGAGCATTTTATTAATCTAGGAAGATTCATTTCATGGTCTTTCATGCTCCACTTTGTTATTTACTTCGAAGGTGTATATAGTAATATTTCTAAAGTGTTTCCCTTATTTTGAGAAAAAGCTGTTGTAAAAACCACCGGTAATTACAAGGATTACTGAGTGCACGCTATTTTTTAGTAATCTCTTGACTCAAAAAGTTAACTTTCATGTCAAACTATTTAAGGGGTCTTACAGATGCTAATGTAAATGAGGTACGGTATGCCCGAGTTAGTAGCATTTGTCAATGTAGGTGACCTAGTACCATAAACGCAACGTCTTAAGTTTGTGACAGTAAAGCTTTATGGTCTTTTCAAACTTACCGTGTGTAACTTAATAAGAGTATTGGTGCACAACGGAGTTGAGTTAGTTGGTGATTCTTAAAGGCATCAGCGGTCAGTCCGAGATAGGGGATTTAGAAGTATGCCGTTTGTCTCAATATCTCATAATCACAATCTCCTAATCTAATATCTTGAGCCGCACTGCCCTAGTGGCACTCTTGATTAGCTTTTTCACTTGGAATCTTTTTTTCGCTTTAAAACACTATACCCCCGGCCAGTGGGCCGATAACACCATTTGGCAATATTGTCCACATAGTTAAATCCAGAGTGTCCTCCTTTCTCTTGCCCTAAAACAGATCTGTTCAGATGGCAGCAGGATGCTCCATCAATATGGCCAAAATATGCGACTTTGGACTTTGTGTGTCTACCGGTGTATGAGTACTTACAAGTAATTAGGGACCTTAAGATACACCGTTACCGTGTAGGGGTACGGGTAAATACCCGTGGGCGTAGCCGTAATTACGGGTAGATTGCCTCTTATCCCGGAGAAACGGCTAGGCTACCAGGTAGAACGTTGATGCCATTATCACATCTGGGAAATCATGGTCGCCTTTTGTATAACTAGGTGGCGAACATGCTAACCTACTCGTGCCTGTTGACAGAAACGGTATATCATAACGTCACTTTTGAGTTATATACAGAAGTCTGCCCCTTACCTTGGATACCGGGTGGAGTGATAATGCCAATATCACAGTTGGGAAACCATGGTCCCCTTTTATAACAACACAAGGTAGACCTGTTCTACTACCCGTATCGTAAACAGAAACAGGATATCTCATGTTCGGTAGGGAAAAGGGTAGAAATTAAAACTTATAAAAAGGAAGGGCCATGCGTACTATACTCTCTTCACACACTGTATTGTTAGCTTTTTGAAGTAACAAAACAAAATTCACAATAAACAATATATAAGTTGGGTAAAAAGAGAAGCATGAAATGAAAAATGATAAATTATGAGAGCAAATCACACTATTGACATCATGACTTGGGAGAGGCATACACAGCCTTGAGGGCCTCGCCGCATATTAAGCATACGAAGAAAGAAAAGGAATTGAGGATAATATCCATAAAAAATAACATGACGCCCGGACACGACATTTAATAAAATATAATTAACAATTATTCCACGAGTGCGCGTTGGATATGAGTTGCCTATAATCATCTCATATCCAACAAGCGCGAGTGGAATAATTGTTTTATTAAACACGCCCACAAAATATCGAGAATTCTTCCCGACTTTATTTGTAAAAACAACCGATTCTCAGCTTGTTTTTAATTTTGAGGAAACGCGTACAGTTACCATATTTGGAGAGCATGGTAGAATGGCTCATAAACCATGATCATGGCCAAGCCCATCAAAGCTCTGGAATTTCATTATTTATGATTCAGTTTTAAATAATAATGCTTGTTTCACGATAATCACTCGAGATATAAATCGCGACATTCCTACGGCTTACTCTAAGTCCTTATCAAGCACTGCAATGAGGTTCAACATAAACACTACGATAGTCGGTTAATACGTTATTGATGAACACTGATCCAATGTCTCCTCTACGATATCTGGTCGATATGCAGCTAAGAAGCGAGTCAGAAAGTACCCCTCCTTATCTTTCAATCATCATCTAGTAAACACTATCTAAATGTACACGCCCTGACAAAACACAGCCGAGAGGTGATTGGGATGGTTAGTGCTTGAATATGTCCAATAATCACGGAATAATAATATACCACGATTCCACTTATTTCGCCTGGGTCACAAACAGTTGAACTGACCATGGGTGTGTCGAATCCTAATATAACATCTAAGGAACGTTTACTGGAAGATTGGCTTGAATAAAAACACAGTCACTGAAGTAAAGAAAGCCTACTGCTTGTCAGAGTATCTACCCCTCGTTAAACAAGTTTCAAATCGGTTTTTATCCGCGTTATTTGACAATGCCGGTGTAAGGCACTTTCCTGGCGTACATAAGCTTCAACTCTGCCGGCATACGTGGCTTTTTGTGATACATGGCTCAACTTTCAGCGTCCGTGAAACACAGGCTAGTCTTTCTACATTACATCTATCATGGTTTTGTATGTTGGTAGAGAAGGTTCTTCAAAACTAATACGACCGTACTAAAACTGGCTCTTTTCTTGGGTAAAATCTTCCACGGTCGATTAGGCACCAAATAGCCTCAAATAGTCAAGTGTAACAGTCTTTCTAAAACAAAAACTTCTTTCCCCTCAATTTCTTAGAAAAGCAACCAACCAGTAGGCACTCATGTATTCTGTGAAGATATTTTTCTTTGGAGACAAGTGTTGAGATTTCCCTTTAACTTTTGAACTATCTAGCGCCCATTCCACTCATCACCCTACAGTCATACACAACTTTTAGAAACTTCGCCACACCCGGGCAAAATGGGCGCTCAAAAAACAGGTCGGACACGGGTATATTACAAAATGGCTGCTTCTCACACGAGGACCGCAATTTCGCCAGAGCATAATAAGGCTGAGTCGGTGCACATAACTTGACATTCATCGCCGAAGGTTTGTCAGGAAGACAAGTCTTGAGATCGTCCCTTCCCCAGAATGCAGAATTAATTTTAAGTCCTTCTTCCTGTCCCCCGCAGGACAGCGAGAGCATGTTTCCGTCGCACCCCAATGCGGTGGCGTTGGGTAATCTTACCCAGTTGGTAAGTGTGCTTTCAAAAGGTCGACCAGACGCTTTCATAAAACAGCAATAAAGAAACAAGTGAAACAATTGACGCATACTACGCGAGAAGCGAATCTATCAGGGGAATAATTCTTAACGCCCTCAACTTACCAATGGAACATTTGTTTCTCAAACAAACTGTCAGATTATATATAGGGCGTTGCATAATTAATTACGTTTTGCACACACGCCAGTTAGCGTTTGTGACAGGCCACCAGTAATAGATTAGTAGATCGTATCTTAAGTTGGAGTTTCTTGTTCAATTGCTTATCAGAGGATATTTTGATTTGGCCAGCAGTGAGTAACCAACCTGAAATACACACAGCCAAAACCAAAACAAATAATTATAACGGGTTTATATCTGATCCATCGATGGAACATATTTCTGATGTCAACGTCAAAAGGACAACGTACTTTACGACACAGAATTTTCTACTAAAGCAGCAAACGGCTCCTCAATTTATAACAATTTCAAACTGATAAACCTCTTATTTTATATCTGTCTTAAAATTGTTTGTTGTGTTTACAAAGGTATTTAATACTGTATATACTGAATAGAATAATTGTACATGTGTATTTAACTATAAGATGCGTTGTGTAAATCACCGTAGTTAGGGAGTTCACTTCAACAACGACATTATTAACCAATTCTGGTAGAACGATATGACGCTTTTTTCGAATCAAGGTAGTTAAATATCTACTACTGCTATCATCCGGTGGAGTTGAGCTTCAGCAAAACTGTTCAGTCGGCTGATTATCGTGACGTTTAACCTGACAAACGAAGTGTCAGTTATTCCAAACCCATGTTATTTGTGCGAAGGATATTCACTGACACAATTTTAAAATTTCAATCCCTCTTAATAGTAACTACTGCTAAAGGCAACAATGATCTTTAGCCACTGAGTAATAAACCTGACGGCTTAGTGTTTGTGAGGATGATCAAACTAAACCAATTAAGGTTTAAGAATTAGTTCCCCGTAACCGGTACATAAAATCTGTGAGCCGGTTAGTGCGATCAACCAATTAAAAGATATTACTCTGTACTGTGTAATGGTGTTGTCCATTCTAGTATTTTTCATAAGATGACTCCACGAAGGCCCATTTAAATCTGAAAGCAAAGCGACAAAAATATCGGAGGTCCGCGTTCCATTCCAGAAGTAAAAGTGACAGAGCAAGCGGTGTTTTTAGAACACCCGGATGACCTGATCACAAACATGCAGGTGGCCAAAACAACCGTCGCGAACCTGAAGCGATAATTGAGATTTCCTCACAGAATGGGATAAAATTTATCGCTTTTAGCTATAAATAATGTTGTAGAAAATTCATTGAACTACATTTTTTCACAGCGCGATTGGTTTTTAATCGATTCCCATATGTTAACTTGGGGTCATCAAAGATCAACGCGCATGTGCCTTTGGAGGTTCGCATACCATGGAGATGAGATAATACGCAATGGAAAGAATGACTTTATGGAAATAGCATTTGCAAGCACGGACGGTCTGTCATAATTCTGAGAAAAAATCGGGAAATTTCTGCCTTCCAAGGTTTATTTTGATTATTTTTTCAAGCGTACGGATTTTAGATTTCACTGAAATTTCTTTACTCTAAATGCATAGTTAAAGAATAGTTAAAGAGTCCGTATTTCTTTCTCGTAGGGCTAGTTAATCTGCTTAAATTGCTGGCCAACCGAGCAACCGACTGGTGACTTGATTATACAACGTAAGTACGAAAATTCTTGTCTATATTTATGCCAAAACGGGACCTAAGATTTTGGTGTATCCGTTGCCACTATTACGCTGTTTAGACGCGGCTAATTGCCTTCGTTTTAGACCAACATTCACCTCTCTGTCAAAGACTGTTTTGACTTTTGTTCACTAGACACACTTGTCTGATCATAAGGTTATTGAAATTTCTTGAAAGAAAAAATACGATAAAGGAGTAGCCAATAGGTATACAGTAAAATATATAAGTGAATTTATATAATTTTGTAGTATGATTACATTTAATGCGCCCTTTCGTTAAACTAGGCTATTGCAGGCCCTCACATCTGTTGGAAGAGCTCTTGCTTGAAATTACTTCCCATTCCCCTACCACAATTTTGAACACGTAGAATGATATCACAGGGTGTTTTCCTTCATTCCTTCTCAACCCGACTTAGTTTTCTGCATGGCTTCCCATATTTTCGCAGTACTTTGAATAGACCTGTGAAGTTAATTGGTCAGCTTATCATATTTTTCGCAGTAATTCATCGAAGCTGGCCAAAGAGCAGTAGGCAAACGGCAAGGAGTGCCGAGGGTCTTACTACCCGCACACAGGTATATTATCCAGTACATATAGATAATATTAATATCCAATTCGTATTTTATCATACCGCTGGAAAGGATTCAGATCAGTGATAATTAATAAAATGCAACAAAATAAGAAAGGACCCCTTACGTGCCCTTTTTTTCAATATACAAAACTCTTTTAGACGAACGATTGTTTGATGTGATAAATGGGGCACAAAACGTTTAAATAAAGCCTTCTCCTTTAAAAAAAGCGTAGAAGAGAGGTAATCTTCAAATCTTTTAATTATAATTTATCGGACACGTGCGGCAAGAAGAGAGGCTATACGCGGTATAGGACGCCACTAAACATCAGTATATTGCTATTTCATCCTTACCCAGAGGACAAAAAGACCTCAAAATGTAGTAAGAACAATAATGGAGAAAAATTAAGCTTAGGATGGCTTCATAAATAGGCCATTTGCACTAAGTGGTATGTGACACCGTTTTTACGAAAATGAAATTTATATGATTTTGCCTTCGAAAAACGATTAGTGGGTCATATCTTAAACAAAATAATGGTGATGTTTTTTTTCAAACCCGCACCATTTTCTTAAAATGAATAAGTTCGTAAATGGTCACGTGTCACATTAGACGGGCATTATGTATGACTTTGTTCAAAAGTTTCAGCAAAAAGGAAATTTCTTATGCTGAGTGGGTGCAAATCTAACTCTATTCTGAAAGGAATTATACCTAAGTAATAAAATATCCAAAGATGCCAGGAAATGTAAATGCCACATTACTAAGATTCAGTATGTCTTTTTTTTTTCAGGAAAATATGGCGCTCATCCTACAGACTTTGATAACAACTTTACTTGTCGCTTTTGGAGCGTGTACCGAGGTGATTAACCCAGTATAGAGTTATCGTTTAAGTTGTAATCATGCAGTAAATTAGTTAATGTTCACTGGGACTAACTAATGCTAGTCAAGTGGCAGGTCTTTCGAAAGCCACGAGGAAGGTAAAAATAGAGCAACAGAAAACCTGCAGAAGACGCCGAACAAAGGACGCGATTAACACCTAATTAATTCTACCGATCGTGATGAAGGGGCAAGAAAGTGGCTTCGCCGCAGGTGTTCCCCTCCATCATATCAGGACGCAAGCATTTTTATGAACCAGTCAGAATTTGAAGCAGATACATGTAGTCAATGTGAAACAAAAAACGCAAGGCAGAATCAGTTGTTGTTTTTGCTTTCGGCTCGATGTGTTTGAACAAGTATCAAAACGGCCGAAAAAAATCCGAAAACAAAAGAGTTTTGTCAAAATGGATTCTCCGTGTTTCACATCGACTTCATTACGCATACATCGAAGGCGATACTAACAGGAAAAGGCAGTGCGAAAATAACTGTAAAATCCTAAAACACAATAACAACTAGCACTAACAGTTTTGTAGAATTAATGGAGTCTTTCGTGGTTTGTTCATTTGGGCGAAAAATATGAAGGCAGTGGTTTCACTGTTTAACTGATTTTAACTTTCCCATAAAGCGTCCCTTAATGATTAGCTTTTTTATCAGCTACAGAATAATAAAGAAAATTAAATGAAAACTGAATAACAATGTCTCTCTTGAACTTGGTGTGCAAATGATCACTGGGCCGCTTGCGAGCTTGTCTTTCCTTATTTTGAGAAGAGCTACAGAGTGCTTTGGCAGGAAAAAAGGATTTTGCTTCGAAACGCTTACGACTATTGTTTCTGTTATCTAGCTAAGTGATGTCCCTGACAATGTCCAACTTCAAAAGGATTCAGATATCAACCTAATGGAAGTATTAGAGAGCCTTGCGCCGATTCCAAGTGAGGAGGTGGTGGCAGTAAAACCCAAAGGGGAGGGTATAGAGAGATTCAGGCGAAGAGTAGAGCCTGCTGGTGGGACTTCCTCTCTTCCAGTTCTCCCGCAACCTCAACAGAATAACTCCATCTTCAGCCAAAAACAATTAACTGAAAGTGGAACTTCGCCTTCTGGGGATGGAGAATGGGACAGCGGGCATGCTGCATCGTCGAAAACAAAAAAGGACATCATAGTTGGTGAAGATACCCTCGGTTCTGGGAATACACTGGAGGACGCAGAACAGGAACAAGAAAAACCAGTTGTACTGAAACCCACAGAACAGGATTTTGGGTCCACAGTCGGCAGCGCGGAAGAGAGTTCGGGATCCCTGACAGATGTATCTGCTGCTGCAACGCAAAGCTTCAGGCCCGTCTCCCAACCACCCCCAGTCCCTCTTTCACAAAATTCGGTTAACAAGGAAACTTCCACGGACCCAAAGACTGTATCCTTTAACGCTGCAGAGCCTGAGGAAGCCATAAATGCCTCTAACAGAACATTCAATGGAAGCAAAGAGGTTGCTCCAACAGAAGACAGTAAAAAAGCAAGTTCCTCTTCTCAAGGGTTTCCCGAAGCTAGTGGATTAGGGGAAGGAGCCCCTCCTTTAACCTCTGCTGATACCAACCAGCAAAAGCTAGCATCTGAATTAGAGGCCAGTGGGAGTGGATTGAACGCAGACGAGCTTGCCTTTATCGCTGGTCTTCAAAAGGCGAAGACAGAACAGAGCAGTGAGGGTCACACACAGAAGAAAGCGAAGTTGCCAGGAAGTGTGGGTAACGATGAAGATGATGAAGGTGTTGATGATAATGATAACGAGAGCGGTGACGAAAGCGGAGAGCAATTCGATGCTAGTGCAAGTGGAAGTGGGGAGGACGAGGAGGACGAAGAAACAACATCTGGCTCAGCTGAAAGTCAGGATGATAAATATCAACGGAGATCTCAGGTGAAGAATTCGTCTGAGCAAGAGGAAACATCGGGGAAAGAGGATGACGATGACGATGACGATGACGATGTCGATGATGATGACGAGGAATCAGGTTCGGGCTCGGCAGATGACGAAGACAATGAAGATGATTCAGGAGAATCCAGTGCTGACGAGGAACAAAGGAGAGATACGATAATTGACGTTGCGAGTGGCTCCGGAGTTAGCTTTATCTCGGGCATTAGCCAGTCAGAAAGTGATGATGCATCTGCAGATAGTTCTGGTGAGGATGATGAACCTCAAGAACCCATGCCAGGTAGCATGGGTCAAGTGAGCGACATTGAAAAAATTGAGAAAACACAAGCAGAGCCAGCTACTGCATCTGGTTTTACCTTCTCGTCCGGGTCTGGAACCCCTTTGCAGAGCAACGTCGAGGATGCAGTTGCGTCAGGCTCTGGACATGTTCAAGGAATTGGAAATTCTATTGTGCAGTCCGTTCAAGATCAAACAAAAGCAAAGCAAACCTCAAGGTCGGGAGAGGAAGAGCTTCCAGGTAGTGTTGGCAGCATTGCTGACCTTAGCCAACTAGAACCCGAAGCCAATGTAAATGCAGATGCATCTGGCAATTCATTTTCTGGTTCAGGTGAATCCGCTCAAGCATCCACATCAAACAGTCAAATAGCCCCAGAGCAATCATTGCTAGAACAGATCCTGCCGGATACATCTTCAGGATCTGGATTTTCAGATGAAAAAAGAGAAAGCCTCCCTGGTAGTATTGGAGGCAAGTTAAACTTAGACGAATTACAAGCCTCTTCCAAGGCGCAAGCGGGAGAAGAGGCGGTGCAGATAGTAAAGCCCACGGTCAGTGTACAACAAGATGCTTCTGGTTCGGGAGAAGAACACGCAACAGGTGCTGACCTTTCGCTTGCATCTGTCTTACAGTCATCTGATGCTTCCGGTTCAGGAAGTGAGGAACAGCAAAGCGCCTCTGGAAATACTGAAGATTTTCAGTCAATACAAATACCACCCTCAGAAGACGAGACTCTGCCTGGTAGTGTTGGAGCAGTGGGCCCTAATCTCATGACAATGGCCTCTCCAGAAAACAAACTGGGGTCCGGAATGACAGACCAATCTGGAGCAGGGTCTGGAATTGGCTCTGGGATGCAAGCGGAAGCAAATTTGATGAAATCAGCTGAGCTAACAGACATCTCTGGATCTGGTTCAGGACAAGACGAAGGGGTTGTATATGCGACAAAAAAGCAAACTGTGCAGAAGAAAATTGCCAAACCGGTCATGGCACTCTCTAATAAAAACGAAACAAACGAGAAGTCTAATGAGACAACCATTCCTTCACAGACGAAACCGACATCCACAGGTGATCAAGAAGTTGAAACTAGCGGGGGATTTGGGTTTGGACTCGACACGTTGGCATCATCCACAGGATCTGGTCAGGCGGATGAGCCGCTACCAGGTGGATTCGGATTTAGTGATAGCACTGACCTTCAGTCTTTGGCCGGATCCGGAAGCGAGGATGCATCAGGAACTTCATTACTGTCCGGGACTGGGCCTCACGTCATGGACATTAGCGAGTCGGCATCAGGATCAGCATACGAAGACCAGCTGTCTGAATCAGGAAATGGCGACAGTGGAAGCGGCAGATTATCATTTGAAACCTTTGCGAAGAAGGACTATGCGCCTACAGCATCAGCATCAGCGTCAGCATCATCAGCAAGTGCAGAGAACGATAGTGGATCTAGTTCTGGATCTGGTTCCCATGCACTTCCAGTTGCCAAGCACGCCTATCTACCAACACCAAAAAGGGTCGGCACAGGCATTTCATCGGCCACGTTGGCTTCATCTGCCGCTGGAGCTTCTTCTGGACAGTCAGACTCCGGAGCAAGTACCCTCCCAGGTAGCGTGGGCTTTGAAGCATCTTTCTCCTCCTCAGGGTCTGCAATTTTCGATACCTCTACTTCGACAAAGGAAGGTTCAGGCTCTGGCTCAAACAACATAGCGGAGTTTCCGGAAGATTTTATCGCCAATGAAGAAAGCTCTTCCTCAGGTGCAGAGATGATAAACGCAGTCGAGTCCGGGGCTGGGGAGGGATCAGGTGCGTTTTCATCTGGAGATGTTGGTATAGAAGAATCGAGCCAACGTTCACACACTGGAAAACTAAATCCCTTTAGCTTTACCTCAAATTCTGGAATACAAGCTAGTGCTACTCCTGACAATTTTGCAAGGATTCCCTTCAATTTGGAAGTCGGATCTGGTAGCAATTATGGCCTAGGGTCCGGCACTGGGATAGATTATGGCTCTGCCTCGGATTTCCTTTCGGGTTCGGGAGGAAGTGGCACCCTGGAGTTAACACCAGCAACTAATCCTTCGGAAGCAATTGCTGACCTGTTTGGCAACGCGATAAGTAACAACGAAAAGGAGAAAGATGGCGAGTCAAGCAGCAGTTCCTCTCTTAGCGGAGGATCCGCTACTTCTCCTCACAAAGGGGGGAAAAGTAGGCACAGAATTCCGATCACTGACGAGTTTGCTGACGACAATCATCCTTCTGAAGACAGTGAAGAAAAAGAGCAGGTAAGCCTTTAAAGGAAAACTTTGATGTACTAATTACTCTTGGTAAGTATGGAGAAACGATTTCCAGTTTATATTCGAACTAGATCTTCCAAAGCCACTCTTATGATTATCCTTGCTGCGCTACAGGTTTCAATAAAGAGCATCCCTGAACTGGCTATGATGTCAGTCACTTACCTTTCAGTTTCAGTAAGCCTATGTTTTTTTTTGGTGGGAGCAGAAAGCGGGGAAAGGCTGCAGAGGTGTTCCAAAAATATTATCAAGAAATTATATTGGTAAATAAATATACGTTTTTAGGTTGAATACGACCTTCCCAAGCCAGGAGACACAGTTGATCAACAGCTGTTGGACCGCTTTATGATCAGTCAAATCTTAGAGCAAAATCTTACGCTATTTTACGGCGGCCTAGCTGGACGCCCCGGAAAAACGGGTCCCGAAGGTCCCTCGGGTCCAAAGGGAGCGCGAGGTATGACAGGAGCTCCTGGTCCTGCTGGTCCTCTTGGTGATGTAGGAGCCCCTGGTGCCGATGGTGAATCCGGTCCGATTGGTCCCCCTGGACTCCCTGGTATGCCTGGTGCTAAAGGAGAACAAGGCGCACCCGGTCTCATGGGATTAGCTGGCGAACCTGGAGCACCAGGTCTTCCAGGACCATTGGGTGATGAAGGACCTTCTGGTCCGGAAGCTGTAATGCCAGTAAGTAGTTGAGTACTTATCCTTGTGCTCGATCGTGATAACCATTTCGAGAATTATTTTTTGATTTTTCATGTGTAAACAGTCTCAGCTTTGTATACAGGTAACTTTCTCTATCGTCCAGGTTTATAAGTTTCAGTTTTAGAAATGTGTCCGTTACAAGAGAGTTAGCTGTAGCCTATTTCGTCAAAAGAATTGTTGAAAGAGGTTTTAAAGAGTCAAAGTGTACTACACTGTATCTTTCGTTGACGTTTAAACCATGCACAAGCATAAATTACCCTTGTATAATGTTACAGAAGTTTAAATTGTCTAATTACAATTTTGTCAGAACTGCTCGTATATTTGCGAAGGAGAGAAGACGTGGCTCCAATGCAAACAGTATGAAACCATCAAAGTAAACCGCGCTTTCTGGGGACGAGAAGAAAACGAGTTCTGCCCTGAAGCTCCTGTAGGCCTCGTCACAGACAAACCATGTGAGACCGACCCAGAAAATACATTTAAGAAGGTCGAAAGCCAATGCCGACATAACCAAGCATGCGAAGTGGTTGCTTCTAATACGTTTTTCGACGATCCAACGTGCAAGAACACGTTCAAATATCTGAAGCTCTGTTACGAATGTATCCCTGACGAGGTTCATGCGACTGATGTATTGCTCGATCAGGGAAAAAGGCGAAAGAGAGGGACTCGTCTAGAGGATGTGCTTAGAAAACGTAGAGAAAAATCCAAACAAAAACTTTTGAATGAACTGTGGGAACATCCGTTCCACGCCACAGTTGCGTGAACAGATACTTTAATAATTAGGACATAATCATAATTAAGATTTCTGTAAATATTCACCCTTTTTCGCACGGTGCGAGTTGGTCTTATGAGGGAGAAAAGCAATCCTGCTAGACTCGCAATTACCTTACTTATTAGGGATTGATAATAGGAATCTCTCGAGTTTCAGGGCAATAAATCAAATACCACGCAAGGAAAATTTTTGATTTTTATCGATATATCAACTGAAGTTATGTTTCAGGGCTCAGAGACGATAATACGACAACAGCATAGAATTTTTGACCAACGTTGAGCGGCGAACTTTCTGCTCGATATAGCGACGGGCAGAATGCTTAACATTTTTGCCGAAAAAATCCAAGAATTTCGCAGTTTTCTGACGTGCATGTTGAAGGTGAAAAATAGTATATGGTTCATATATTTATTCGTATAGTCGTGGTAGGCTAGTGTTAAATTAATAGAACGACTCAGCTCATTGTTTCATTGAAACAACAACTTTTGCTCACATTTTCGCTTGCACATACGGAATATGGGCACCGAAATGGAACAAGAATCCTTCCATGGAGATGTAACATTACTCCTAATTGCTTTACTGTACAGAAAGAATTACTACCGACGGTCATTTGGGTCCCTTTTGGCTTAACTGTTCCTTTAACACAGAGTATATTAGAGCATGAAGTAGGGCTCTCTCCATTTCGATATAATGACGCAGAGAAGGCCCTGTGGGCTAAGTTTTAGTGGGTCTGTGGGACCACGTTAAACTCGTGTACATTCTTATGTAACAGAGCTATGTGTTGAATGCAGCGGCAAAGAAATCTGTCGCTAGGACAACAGGTGACATTTGTATTAGAAAATACGAGAAATAAAAAAAGGAATTTTTCCGACAGAATCGCCTACAGGGAACTCATCAACGATTTCTTTGAAGGGAAACATAATAGAAAAAACAACTCGTGTGTATAATACGGTGATTATTTTGTATTAAAGACCAAGATAGTCAGAGAGGAAAATCATAAGCATTGTAAATAATGAAGACGTGTCACCCTTGTGGTAACTGAACTGAACAAACAGATGTCTAAAAAAAATGCATTTCCCACAGTGCACTTATTATAGACAAGAAGTATCGTGTAGTTATTGTATAAATAGGGACGTTTATACGTGTAGGGTGTTTTTAACAACATTTCCTAGAATAAAAAGTTTCCAAGAAAATGACCATGTTGTATTAAATGAGTATGTGCGACGAACTTCCTAGCAATGAACAAAGCTTGCTAACAAAGAACCTGGAAATTCCTTTCCGCGCTGTCTCTATTCCACAATAGCCTATAGTTTTTTATTCGCGTTAACCAATTTGCCCCCAGAGGCCGATTTCTTTTTCTTTTTTTGCCCTACAGGATCCCACACTTTTGTCGACCAGCAAGCTTAAATACATATATGAATTAGAATACCATTTGTCAATACTCTTCGATAAGACGTACACTATTCAAAGAACACGTAACTAAATCGGAATAACGTTTAAAGGTAAATACCTTTCGGTGGCAAATAGATAAATAAATCTTATCATGCGACCGGCTTCGCAAAATAAACGAAACAATCATGAGCGATCTCTCAAAATAATCAAAGAACGAACCACTTTTCTGACTGAAGTTGGTGCTAGTGAAACCCCAGTGGAAAACTAAAATAAGAGGCAAATGTATTTGACCAAAAGAAAACGTTTTCATAAGAAAAGAGTTCATATGCAACAAGACTGGTTTGAAACACCAAAATGGCCGCCGTTTGATTGTTTTGGAACACCAATATGGCCGCCGTGACGTTATGTGAAAATGCTCTATAGACGGTATTTTGCTCATGGAAAACCGGAATACCATAAAAAAGATTAGTTTTTGATATCCTGTAAAACGTAAGCCAGCCTACAGCTGCACGTGACTTTTTTTGCCGAAAAACTAAGTACTACAACAAAGCGACTAACAAATAAATAAGAACCGAGCCTAATACTCTCTCGTAAGTTTGACCGCGTAAAATGGTTTTTGCGAACACGGAATTTAGGTTTATTTCTAAATCTCTGCTCTGAAGGTGCAAAGAAGATCACACAACGGTCCACATATGCCAAAACAAATATGGAATAACTGAAAGTACATACCAGTCTGAAAAGAGAAATTTGCATATTTCTAACAATGTAACGAGGAACGGTGCGACAACAAATAGATTGTAAAAGTGGTCCTTCCATTACAATGAACCTTTTTCTCTGAAAAAGTACTTCAAATTTCCACTACCGTCCCTTCTTCATCGCTTATGACAGACGCATGCGCAGAGACGGGATTCTCCGCAAGGTTGCTTATTTCTTTTCCAATTGCACTTGAATCAACAAAAACGGACGTTATATCCGCTGGGAGGTTATCGTCATCACTCTCATCGTCGACTGCTCTTCTCTCCTCATTGTTTTCCATTTTAGAATTACCGCCTCGACGTCCCTCTTCACTGATAACGATAATGTCGGGAATTTGCCCCATAGGTAGCCGTCTCTTTTTCTGTTGCTTCTTCTCCTTGAGGCCGCGCAAATCAAACCTTACCCTCCTATCCTTGCCACTTCCCTCGCTCTTGTCTGCGTTCTCGGATTCTTTCTCCCGTTTCTCTTCGACAGAAATTTCCAGTGGTCTTCTTTCGCCACGTTGCTCCTCAACTGTACCATTTTCTGGTTCAAATCCCACGTTGTTATAACTTTCAACGTCGCCTGCAGTCATCGTAGGATCACCCACCTCACTGTACACTGTTTCGAAAACCTCTTGACACTTCCTAAAGACATTGGATGGATTCTCCGCCGATTCGTGATGATTCATAGCGACTGTTCGCTGCTTCTGCGAAAGAGGGAAAAAAGTAAAAACATCGGTGGTAAACTTCAATCAATAACTGTAGCCAAGTGGAAAAAATTAGTGCAACATGTGAAAGAAAAAAAATCTTGAGTGCGAAGATTCATCCTGTGCTTCTTGAACTTCTCCGCGGCTTGGCTTGTCCCCGTGACTTAAAGAGCCGAACGTCACAGCTGGTTGGCTAATTTCTCGACTGTTTATCTCACCAACGGAAGCTAGATTAAAACGTTTACAGCTTACTGTGTTTAAAATCACGGTTTCGCGTTTAATGTAGGAAGCACATCTCTCGGCTGCCTAAGCGGTGGATATGCGGATATCTGAATGATAGCAGTAGTGTCGGTAGCTCGACCCCTTGTTGCAATAACAAATGATCACTGTCGAGTGTATTTTTTAAGCTTCGTGTCAGTAGCTGTAAAGGCTACGATCATGTCTACAGTAAGATTAACTAACCTCTTCATCCTTCTTTAGTTCCTTATTCACCTGGTAAGTTTTGCTTGATCTCCTGTTTGAAGTGAAAAAAAAATGCAAGTTAAATTCATTATCTCAGAGATAAACCGTCAAAAACTCCGACAAAAAGAGAATTTCACATTAAACTACTTACAATGGAGTTCGCATCAAGGAAGGAGCCTGAAAAAAGAACGCTCGATTATTAGTTCCTTGGCCGGAAGTACGGTTATACGTTTCTGGGAAACTGCCCACCTACCCCTCCACTAAGCCAACATTAACACTTACTTCTCACCTAGGACAAACTGTTGGCTTAGGGGAGGGGTAAGTGGGCAGTTTCCCAGAAACGTATAATGGTCCGAAAATTTCTGGGGTCTGTTTACATGGAAGCAAAATGATTTCTGCCATTAGTTTTGGGCGTAGACAGTTAGTTCTAGGCTGACCCAGCTGAGGACGGGTTATTCAACACTGAATTCCATCTCTTAACAACTAAAATAATAAAGAATATCAAGGCTAAAATCAATCTAGCATCACTACTTTGAAGGGTGGATAATCTTGGGTTTTGTTAAGAAACCGTACGATGACCTTTGCACGTTTTCTCAACCATCACATTCAATTTACTCACTGCTTACCGAAATTTTAACCTCACTGGATTCTTCGTGATCTGGACGTGGTAGGCTTGGTGACGATCCGTAATGATTCAAAGCCACTGCCTGCCCCTTCTGTAGAATAAAAATGAATGGAAACTAAACTAGAAGTTTTGATGTGAATGAAAGAATGCCCGCGTGAAACTGTAAAATGCTACAGGTAATTGTAAATAACTACACCTGAATTTCGAAAGAGAATTTATGAGGCTGCAATGATATTTAGGTAAAAAGGAGGGCAAAGAAGGGTTTCCGCTAAAATTGTAGTCGTATCGATTGATGCAATCATTCACTCATCAAATTAAGACGTGCTACGACCCATGAGGCAAAACAATTGACTGTCAACGCATTGCTTACACATTATCGGGGTATAATACAGGTCTTTCAGTTATTATATTCTCTGACAGTTAAGGAAAAGGAAAAATTCTTGAGCCGAGATGTTTATAACCAAGCGAAACTGACCAAACTGATCCCTTATCAGAAACCTAGACTATTTGATCGCCAGCTGTGCGCGGGTACTACTTTATGTAAGACCTTCCTACATGACGATACCAAAGTGTGCATGCCTGCTATCTGACATTCCAAAAAATTTCGGACTTTTCCTCATATATTTTTTTTTGTATACTGTCTTGCTAACGCTCGGCAGCAATAATCTCCATATTGTTGCCCATTACAACAATGATGCCCTTTCTCCTCTTTATAAACGTTTAATGCTACCATTATCAGTTCTTTGCGAAATAGCAAGCTTTATCCACGAAGCCTCAGGCAGCCTTGTTCATCCACTCGGATGTGTCAAAGGAACTTAAGCTTCCAAGGCATTGGAATTCTCTACGCAAATGAATGATTGATAGATTGAATGATGATAGTTATGCGCACAGGATTGTGGGATCGCCAGGGGGCAAACATTGCAAGTCGCTACAAAGAAATGTATGGTGTGGAGCTGTTTCTCCGTTAAAAACAGTGAGGTTGAGTGTGAAATTTATGTTTACTGAATTTACACAGTGATCTACATGAAGAAAAGGTCTCGAGATATATGGTGCAAATTTAGGTATACATGT